ACGCAATCAACTCAACTCCAAAGGCCTGGACACCACTTACGTCTTTTCCTGGGAACGTCGCTCCAAGCTTCCCGCGAGCATGGGCAGGACTTATGGCCATTACAATTCCCGTACCAGTGATAGCTGAAAAACAGGCAGAAATATGCAAAGAAGGTGAGATTTTCTACTGTGTTAGGATTTCAAAGAAACGGTGACGGGTCAATGCCATCCGAGTTTAAGGACTACATTGGCCTATTATTGAAGCAAACTATCTCTAACCATGTGACGGGCTCCTGCTCTAACTTATCCATAATAAAATGCGTTGTTCTGGTGCCGTAGAGAACTTTCGACAACCAATCTCCTCTTTAGAGAAGCATATCATATTCTTTTCTGTCTCGGCAGTATGTTATAAGTTCCCTTCATGGAAAAATAGAACTTTTTGGAGCTTTTAGGGAATTTAGGGTAACAAGTGGACAAAAATCGAAGTGGATTCTGGTAGCACTCAGTAGTAGTAATAGTAGTTGTTCTCCAATTCAGTCCTGCCCGGCGTCAGGTTAGGGCCTACGTGTCTACGTCCCGAGATTAACAAGGTTTAGCGAGACACATATTTGTACTTATTTCCTACCTCCAAACATTTGAGCGACAATGGAGCAAATCATTCGAATCAAACCAGCGTCTGAAGTGATGAAAGCGGCAAGTGACACAGCTGGATTTGCGTGTACAAGAGGTAAACTCACAGATCTGAAAGCCTGAATTGAAGAGGCGGTGCAAAGTCCTGCAGCAAGAGCTTGCTGAAATATAGTGGGGGCACCTTCCCATCTCAAAGCTGATCCTGAGACAGCGAACATTAAAAACAACGTAGCGAGGTACTCGGCCAGTATCGCTAGCCAGAAGTCGACATAAAACGCTTCACTAAGACCAACTAGGAGAGGGAAGAACGCAAGGGGTCAGTTATTCAAACGGAGTTTAGCCAGTGTTTAACAAAACCGCGTTTCAAGCCATACATTCTCAGTTTGCCAAACGCTTTTATGCAAACACCATTTATCGTGAACAGTTTCATAGAAGCATATGACGTAGACAGGAATAGCATTTGTGTTGTTCTCAATATAACCCACTAAGGAAAAGATTTGGAGGTTCAAAGATTTGCTCAACCGCGGTCTAAGTTAGTCTTCGCTTAAATAACAGACCCGAAATGTTTAGTCATAACTTGATTTTGGCGATCACACTAGATATAGAGTGCTAGGTTTGTAGAGAGTTTGAGCTTTACACTACGATGGCAGTCTTTGTTTTACTACTAAAGCAAAAGTTTCCTAGAAATACGCCCTTATTGACGAAGCTTTTTCTAATTATCCGGCTTAACTGCTTTGCTCAAACTTACTCAAGCTGTATCAAAAACACTAACAAGAGTTCTGACTTTTTCTTCCACTCTCTTCCGTTTTAGTACTATCTTCTCAGCTCAAGAGCATACTTCCAAGCGCTCTCAGTTTTCATCCGCTCGGCCGATTAGATTGGAAAAAACATCATTAAAATCGACGATATGTTCTCGCTGTGGCTCAATCGTCAAATCTCGGATTAGCCTGACTAAGTTGCAAGTTAAGAAGCTCGAAGATATTAGCTTGTTAGCTACTCCAAAAATACGAGTATAAATATAGTTTATGTTATGTTATGTTTAAGAATCAAAGATACCAAGAGCAAGGGATGCGTTTACCGTGCGGTATGCGAAATCTTCGTGCCATTTTCTCTTAATGTTTGTGATGAATCTTTCCCTTAACGTAGATATTCTGGTATTTGTTCCACACATTCCACAACGCAGGAAAACAAACAATGTTCCATCAAGAAAAGGTAAATAAGACAACAAACCCTTTTGTGTTCTTTAATAACAGAAGATACTCGAAGACAATCCTTGCGCATAGAAACCTATTATACTTTACTATTAATAGATTTCTATACATCTTTATCATAAAATTAGAAGAAGCAAACTTTGTTCATCAAAAGTAACCAAACTAAGTTAATGACAAAGGCCTCTTGATGACGGCAAAGATCAAAGATCATAATAAATTATCAAAAAAATGAAATGAATTTTTTTGACGAACTGTAAACTTAGTTTATATTAGAATAGATCAGAAGGGAGAGGGTGACTTGCGCAAATTAGCGAGGAACGCCACAGTCATTAGAGTGGCTTAACAGTTTAAAAAAGATACAAGCTCACTTGCGGACGACAAGAAGAGCTTGCAATCCTAATCTCTAGGTTGTCATTACGCATGCGTCGCATGTATGTAACCAGCATTCGTTTAGACTTCCACTAAGAAAGAATGGAATGCACAGAAAGCAACTATATCAAGCGCGTTTGGACCTTCTATCACTAGTAACCTGTTCACGCGTGTTTTGACTATCAGATCTGTCACGCGAAACTTACGCAAAGCACAGCGATGGAACAAAAGCGTTTTGACATTCGATCGTTGTCGCCCGCACTCCGTAACCTTTGGTTATCACTCAGTATATATTAAGAAATTAGACAGGAGAGTGCTTAACTCGCACATCGATCTACCGCGGTCACATAGAGACTATAGAGACTGGTGAGATCTGGGACGAATAATTGAAAAAAGAAATGGAGATCTCGTCACTTTTGGTCAGCTGATACGTTGCCTGGTTACCTCTGGCCTTGACTACCGAGTAAGAGGCTACGAATACCTACCGGACAGCATAAACATTTGGCAAGATAACATGACTATATGCTAAACCCTGTGGTACCCGCGCTGCTTCATTTGGCCGTAATTGAGGCCAGGTTGACATGCATTAAAGGAGAGCTGAGGAGGAGCCAGTTCGACGGTGTAATTGCTCACTCTACCCCGCTATAAAGATTACATTCATCCTATACTACCATTTTAATTTCAATAGAATAGATGAGCGCATATGGTCATACCCGTTGAAGAGGGTAATAGGGGGATTTTCTTCGAACCCGGAAGTACTATTACGAAATTTTGGGGCAAATTATTCCCTATTATTCTTGGAGTTATACTCAATCTATTCCATATTTTTTCGAAGAAAATGAATTTTAAAAACTCCTGGACCATCTCAGTTTGTCGAATTTTAATTTTGAGGCAGACAAGTTCACAAGCTGGGATATTTCGTTGCTGTATTCGGAAAGGGGAAGAATTTAACCATTGATTGAACATAACAAAAGCAGTAATTGTTTACCAAAAAATGGTGATTCTTTGTAAAATTTAAGCTTCGTTTGGTTCTATATAAGATAATTAACTCCGTGAACTGTTTATGTGGAGCCAATACCAGCAGTGTGGTGATGTTTGCCTCATGGGTACTATCTTGAATTTTGGTTCTTTTTCTCCCAGTTTTCTTTAATTAATTAGTCATTTCCTTATTCAGCTTTTACTTTATTCGCATTTAAAGTTAATCAAGTGCTCGTTGCCATATTAGCATTCATTTACCGATCAATTAAGAAAGTAACAGGTACTTTAGCAGGTCTTGTATTGGGTAACCTCCCACTGCCATGTGTTTAAATTTCTTGTCTTGTTGTCAAAAACAATTGAAAATGAAGAAGGCCAAGGACGGGGCAACACGGAGACTCAGAATCGCCAGCTTTCTTTGCTTATTATTCATGATTTTTGAATTTGTTGGTAAGAAATGTCTCTTTGTCCTGCTTATATTATTTTGCTTTCACAGAGCTCAACAAAATAACGCAGTCACTCACGCAAATCCGTCATATTAATTTACTACCAATATCATTTACCACAATGGACATAACAGCCATAAATATCCTTTTTTTTCTTTTTTTTGTAGTCGGCTGTAACGAGGAATACATTATGATATTGTAAATTACTTCATACGGCACGTAAAGTCTACCATATATATATGTATATATGTTTACACTTCAACAGTTAAAAAATGGTCTCCCGTATGGTGGCTACTTCAAATAACAATTTCAGTTTAATCACTCCAACTTTTTGCGCAGTCTGGCTTCATGGATGACTAGCCTTTCATACGAATTCCTTTTAACTGCTTGCTGCGATTATTTATAATTATCTTGTACACTTTTGCTGTAAGGTAGTGTACAGCTACAATGGAGGACAAAAATCCTTGGAACGGTTATGGAAAACCTTCCTTCCACATCCTTAACTTATCAAATGTTCAGATGTAGCATAATATGCACTTCTCTAACCCCTTGGATACCGCAACTGGCCCTCCCCTCCCCCTCCAAACAATGTTGGGATGAAGAAACACTTTTAGGACAGGGTAAAGTGTACAGGGGTGCACAAACTACAACATTGCTTGGGGGAGAGGGGGAAAGGGGGAAAAATTAATTGTCCAGAATTTTGTCCCCATTAATTGTCCGTTCAGAAGTTTTGTCCCCATTGTAGGGGACTGGGGTTTGATGTCCCCACTATCTGAACGCCTGGGGTGATGTAGGGGCACTTTACGCGGCGAATTTGAATTGTGCGGCAGAATATGTGTGTGTTTATTTTATAGAGCTAAACTTTTAAACAAGGTTTCAGTTTTGCTAAAAACTACTCCCATTACTGTAAATATTGCTTATGAAATTTGTCAACTTCACACCAGCAAAGACTTTCAAGAATCGATTATTGTCAATTTGACACCAGCAGAAACCTTCATGAATCTATTATTTTAATAACACGAGTTTGCGCCAAAAGGTTCTTGACATTGATACTAGGAATTTTCTCTTTTTCTAACTGTCTGATTAACTTTATCAAGTAACTCAGTCAATTGCATGTTTACCCGCTTTGCACCTTCTTCCTTGACTTCCTTAAATTCTCAATACAACCTCGAATTTAAAAGAGAGGCGGGCTTATTAGCTTTGTTCCCCTAAAACGGAGAGGCGTATTTGAGGGGGCAGGGGAGGATTTACGATAATTGACGACTTTGTGTCCTCTCAGTCCAATGCAGCATTCACAAGAGCCAAAGTGAGGCATTATAGCTCAAATGCATGGTCCCATTATGGCTCTTGCATTCACTGATACTTCTTTCTATTCATCATTTTTCAGGCGGATATTTAGCTAATAGTCTCGCTATTGTCACAGACGCCGCGCATTTGATGTCAGATTTTGCTGGTTTTATGATCTCGTTGTTAGCCTTATGGATAGCTACAAAGCCTGCCACTACGACTTTGTCATTTGGATGGCATCGTGCAGGTACCAGGGAGTGACAAGGGGTGATGGGGTTTGATCTTGAGGGGTTAGGGAGGGGCGCGGTAGCAGAGAGAAGATCTACATGGCTCTCCAATGGGCATATTTACAAACTGTTGCCGAGTTTAATTTTTAAAGGACGATGGAATCGCAAAAGGCAGCCTCTCTCCGTTCTAACCTTGTACAAGGAAAAATCTCTAGGCACGAAATGGGTAAATTTAAGGTATTTTTTTGCATGATGAATAATTGTCAGGAAAAGAAAACCTAGCTATATATGAGCTGTTATCCAGGGTTAGCAAATAATACCAAAAATTCTTAATTTGTCAGAAGCCTTTGAATCTCGATACACTGGATACATGGGAAGGGCTGGTGATGAGTCACAAAGGAGGATCTCTTTTCTAGGTGATAGAGCTGAGCCAACCTCCTCCACAGGGTTTTTTCTTAGTAAATGGGAGAGACTGGGGAAGAGGTTGACAGTGGAGCCTTCATTCAGCGGAAAGAGACTCCCTTAGGCCTTGCTAAAGTGTGCTTTTACTCAGTCATATTATTCACAGTACCTGGAATCCGGACTCCACAGCGTGGAATTCAGAACCCAAGACTTTCCTTGCATGGGGAAACTCCTGACTATGGGGCTCTTTTTAGGGGATCATTTTTGACCTAATCTCCTACCCAGTTCTCACTCTGTTTTACCTTAGGAGATCTTGGTACGATGTTATTTTTGACCCAGTTTCCAACGCAACCTCGTAGGCAGCGTGGTCAGCGCGTCGGACTCGCAATCCGGCGGTCCCGGGTTCGAGTCCCGCTCGGGCCACTTGCTGGATTTGTTCTCGGTCGTCCCGAGTTCAAATCCCCGGCCACGCTTGTAAATAGCCAACTGGTCGCCTCCTGCCAGTTGGGGTTTTAAATCCTGTTATGTTGTATTTGAATTATTTATTTTCTAAGTATTTACTAATTGTAAAGCGCTTTGGGTCACTAAGAGAAAGGCACTATATAAGTGTATATTATTATTATCATTATTATTATTATTATAGTGCTCCCACAGAACAGTCCCATTAAGCTCAATTTGACGCAACCCCGACCCTACCCTGGGTGCCAGAGTTTTTTTCCTGTTGTTGGCAGCGAAGCCGCGATCGGGTGACGACGTACAGACGTCAATCTTTTCACCAGAGTTATGGAAACACTGCTCACGAAATTCGCCATTCCTCAATTTGACAACATTTCGCGCCCTTTTTACACATCACTGCCCCACGTGCAGACATATCAAATTACGAAAACAAACAGATCCCACAAAAAACCGGTTTGGCCAGCTATCTTGTTTCAAAATCACATGGAAGTGCGGTTCGTAACTGCCGTGACCAGAGGGTTTTTTTCCCGCTCGTTACCCGATCGCGGCTCCGCCGCTGTTTCGCAGCCAACAACAGGAAAAAAACCCTCTGGCACCCAGGATACCCCGACCCAGAATAACCCGAAGAATCAAATGGTCAATAGGCCATTTGCACAATGGCGTCATTTTACTACTACGACCAGAATTCTTTTCGTTTTTCCTTTCACATTTAAATTTGGTAATCCTAACGAGGTTTAAATAACAAAAGCGCTAATTTGCACAAGAAAGCAAAAACCCGAAGGATTCTGGTCGTTGTAGTAAAATGACGCCATCATGCAAATGACCTATTCACACCAATGTTAATTTATTAAGATCAATAAGACAAAAGAAATCACCTTGAGGGTTCAGGGATGAATTATACATTTTTTAAACATTGTTTTATTCCCGGAAGCCTTACCCTGCGAGCAGAGGCCCTTCGATACACGAAGATCGAAGGGACACGGCTCGCGGGGTAGGAAGCCTCGAAGCTCAGTACAAATTGCAGTAAGTATATTGAGAAGCAGAGCACTCTATTGTTTGAATTGGTCAATTCAAATAAATGTGAATCTCTCACGTTATTGTCAATGACGAGTGAGCTAAGTTATATTACTATTGTGAATCTTGTTTGCAGAGGTGATGGGCGCCCTGTTGTCCGTACTGTTTATCTGGGTACTCACAGGAGTTATAGTTTATCTGGCGATTCAAAGAATCATAACCAAAACGTACGAGATAGAAGCAAAGGTTATGCTCATCACTGCATCTGCAGGGCTCATTGTTAATGTCATGTAAGTGGATAAAACAATTACGTTGCATTTCTGCGAGCCCTACAAAACATTTGACATGATTTACATTGTTGTTACAAAACTGTTGTTTACACTGTTTGTTTCACGAGTTATATATACAGGTTAATCCCATTATGACTCTTAGAGGTCCTCTCTGAGGTAGAAGTGATTTATACACACCCAAGTGAAACTGGATATATAGCCAGTCCTTTCATCATCTTATTAGCCAAAAAGAGCACTCAAAATTAAAAATGTTATATACTGTTTGGTATATCATCGCTCCTATATAATTGTGAAGTCTCTAGCTAGTCCAGCGCATTAAATACATTTCCAAGTGTCGCATTGAATTTGTTTTGATGTAATGTAGTACTAAAGAATTTGAGGCGTGCCCCTATGGATCATTTGTTCCTCGAGGTAAATCTTTGATCAGGACTGCGAATTATCTTTTACAGATTAGCTGCGGTACTCCATCAAAAGGCGCATGGCCACAGCCATGGCTTCAGCAAAAAAAAGAAAACCCAGTTAAAGAAACCAAAGGCTTCCCCTTCCAGCTTCATCATAGAAGAAGAGGCAGAAAACGTGAACGTTAGAGCTGCCTTCATTCATGTTTTGGGTGATTTTCTGCAAAGTGTGGGAGTCTTTTTAGCTGCTCTTCTTATTTGGTTCAAGGTGGGTTTATTTCGTGCAAGCATTCGCTCTATCAATTGCCTTGACACTTAACAATGTTTTTCTAGGCTTGCATTACTAGATGCCCTGCGTACTAGGAAAACGGCCGCGCGATTTAATTGGGCCAAGGAACTGGGCAGGTTACAACCAGAATCTCCCTGCGTCATGTTTTTACTTACGATTGGCACTAAAATGGATACCCCAAGTCAGATGGTCATCTTCACGTAAAATACATGAAATAGTCTTACAACCTCAAGTAGTAAATATAAGAAGGAGGAAAACAGGAGGAAACAGAGCAAGTAAGGCTTGGATCACTATATAATATTTGATTCATAATCCACACCCTTCACTGCACCAGCAACTGCTGAGACCGGTTATTTTTAACGTACGTCTTACGGCATAACTTATAATTACATTGTTTGAAAGCTACCTGATGTAAAGCATTTCTTAGCCCTTATCATTGTGCTTGGGTTCTTAATCCTATGCTCAACTCTTTTCCTTGCACAACTGGCACGCTTTTCGCAATAAGCGGCCCTCTCAATAAGCGGTTCTTTCATGACCCGGAGGATTGCGTTGTGTAGTAATCACGAGATGTCAAATCTGATTTGGGGGCATCCATTATTCTCGTCATCACCGTTACGTTTACTTCGGCTCAGCTCTACTGCACCAAAACATAAACCTTGACTTTTCACAATGGCTTCCTTGGAGACAGGAATATGTGGTGGTAGTGAGAGAGGTGGAAGTACAAGTGAATGTATCTATGACTAAGCAGTATTATTATGTGACGAAATTAGATGCAGGCAACTTTTAACTAAATGGTCCTTGAACCGAGACGTCAAAAACAACGAAGGCGCACCGGAAAACAGGGGCTTCTTCAAGGCCACGATGCTATGACGATATAGTCATGTAAGTCAATGTTTTGAAATTTTTCTTTTGTTTGTTTTTTTCTCCTACAGCCTTCATGGGAGATTGCAGATCCTATTTGTACTTTTGTGTTCTCTGTGATCGTGTTAGGAACCACATTAGCTATTCTGAAAGATGCTGTTATTGTCCTTATGGAAGGTAAGTTCTAAAACACCATTACATAATGCATGCATAATTACCCTCTACGAGGTGTAGAGACCAAGTGTTATTTTCAGGCAAAGGGTAAACGTGAGGTTTAATTGACATTTCGTCAAATTAGGAAAGGATCAGCTAAAATCAAATAAAGGTGGCCAGAAAATTCCTATTAATGATTAACTTTACATGAAACTAGTATGGGTATTCCTGTGTAGATATAATAAGGAGTGAAAGACACACTGTCTCTTAGAATTAGAACTGACGGTGCCAATTTCCTTGGTTATTTCGCTCCACAGGAGTTCCAAAAGGCCTCAGTTTTAGTAATTTAAAAGCAAGTCTTCTAGAAATTCCCGGAGTGTTAGCGGTCCATGATCTTCACGTATGGTCACTTACAGTTGGAACAACAGCCATTGCGGTTCATCTAGTGATAGGTACGTAGTCGTTACTAACAGTCTCCTTCGAGTCAGACAGGTGCATGGCCAAGCTGTACAGACGGACGGCAAGACTGAAGGGAAAAACGGTTTTAAAAGATCGTCGCGTACTTTTCATGACCAATACCTTCGAGTTGATAAATGTTATTTTAGCCTGTAGACCTGGGTCCTGGGTTCTGGCAGAATTACGCGGCAATCAATCGCTTTCATAAATTGGAAAAATCGCAGACGATCTGCGATTTCTGTTCCTTGATTGCTTCGACTAATGAAAACCAAAATCCTAGTTATTTGCGGGGATAGTTCGCGGAAATTATTCGGGGAAGGGTCCCTACATTTTCGACTCCTAGATTTCTCCGATGGAAGGTAGTCATTTGCGACGTAAGAAAACTCAAGTCCGGGGTGTCGGAGAACGTCGGGGTATAGTACTTTTAGCTTGGGACCAATCTGCTAATGGCTCCAGTCTCCAAACTCATGCACAAATGAAAACACCGTTTCGGGAAGATCCAACCTTGGTGACAGAGGTTTTTCAAACGTGGTTTCCAGTTTTAAGTTATGCCTTTATAATGACCCACTTCGCTGCTAGCTCTCTTCGCCTGCTCGGCTGCGGTCGATGAAGCTTTTCGCTGCAAACGTTGCACCCGAGAAAAAAACCTGGCACCCAAGCCAGGTCAGATTGTGGGTTGTCCTGATCCTTACGTATCGACAAATATCTGAGATGGTCGGAAGAAAAAATGAAACCCCTTATCGTCTAAGAATTTCGCCATATATCGAAACCAGGTTGTAAATGACCCGAATTTTAACCCAGGGGAATCTAAAAGGTGTATTGAAAGTTCAACACTCGGGATAGGGTACCTTCTTTTGGTCCTTCGGTTAAAGAGATCGCTTAGCTTCTCGTAATTCCCATCTCGATAGTGAACTTAAGCAGAGACGTTTTTGAGCGATGCACGTCAACCGGAAGTGGTCTTTTTTCATTTTTGGACAGTGGTTTTGCCCATCTTTTAGGACAACTCGTCTCTATAATAGTTAAGACACTTAGAAATACAAATTTGGGAGCGTCAAGGTGCTTTAAAATGAAAAAGACCTCACTTCCGGTTGACGTGCGTCGCTCAAAAACGCCTTTGCTTAAGCTCCCTAATTGCCTCAGGGACTGCGCCTTCTGATATGATAACATTAACATGAATTTTATCTTCCCTGTAGACGACAGCACTAGTTCTCAAATGGTCTTAGAGGAGGCTTCACGCATTTGCAGCCAAGAGTTCGATATAGACCATAGCACAATCCAGGTTGAGACTTCAAGTGAAAAAACTGCTGAATGTATTCAGTGCGATGAGCCAGCCTCATAATATGGGGTATAATCGAAATCTTGACATCGCTGTCAAGCGGATCAGCGCGCACTGTTATTGGCAGGCACGATGCGTTTAGTATTTGGAATGGGTCAAACTAAGAGCCATAATAGTCCTGTTATGGCTCTTGGTCAAACCAAAAACGTTTAAATATTTTAGCTTCGTTAGCGTTTCTGATCAAGGCAATCGAGCACATAATCACAGAAATGGTCCACCTGGAGTGCAAAACAGGACAAGGATTGTATTTTGAGGAGCAAAGAAACAGTTCTGAGAAGAGTGACTCACTGTTACCGTAGCTAAGAAGTACACCTTAGTACAATCAATGAACGGTCAATCGTCTTACAACGGACACCTGGGATTGGACCCTGCCTTACCACTTCCTTGACTGTCTGTTACACGGTCGGGACTGGAAAGCTGTCTTGTTTTCGGTGTTTACATTCAAGAACAACGTTTTACTTGGTTTGGAAAATGATACAACGAAACTATCAACCAACGAAACAAAATTGTCTGGTTTTTGAACTAGGAACCGTCCTACTGTTCAACAGGTCATGGTGTCAGGGCAGACTCTTGCAGCTGGTTCCGGCCAAGAGAATAGGGACTTAAGATCCAACGACGCGGACGGTATCGAGAACGTCAAAAAGACAATAGGTTTGACTAGCAAAACAACAACTTTGCACGTGCACCATGCTTTCTGTACATTTCTCTGCCCGTGTTTGCACGACTGCGACGTGAAAATGCCTAATTTCGGGTTTTACGGAGGACGTAAACAAGCAACGACGAAATTTTATCTTACTGTACTTGGATATGGTACCTAGGGATTCAACTCCAGGAGGGTTCGCCTACATTTGACAATGTAAGTGGGTAGGAATAATTGCGACATAGACTGAAAGAACGCAAATTCACTTTTTAAGCGACGTTCTCACTGCCGTCGCGTCGTTGGATCTTAAAGTCCCTAATCTTCTCAGTGGGAACTGTCCATAGAGACGTGAAAAGGTGCATTCAGGAGTGCGAAGGACCTTCTTTATAACGACAAGAGTATTCAACACTTGATCAAAGCAATACAGCTGGTTGTCAAAGATACTCGCCTCATTATACTTTTTAAAGCACTTTTAGAATCTTAAAGAAAGCATGACAAGAAATTAATGTACACCCATCGAAATCAGTTGCAGGATGGAGGAAAAGATGGTTGTTTCTTACTGATGGCCTGTTGAATCAGAGTTAAGGCGGAAAGCAAGAAAAAATAGTTCTGATTGCCGTGCACATTACTTTCAAACTTTGGACAAGACAATTTTTTTAATAAAAATCAACGACCACTGAGCTTATTGTTGTCTTAGTAACATTATTCACTTTTCGAAAATGAAGTGGAATGAATTCACCTCTTTGGGTTTACAAAACAAGTGTTGACATACAGGGCGTGGTTCCTGAAAGGCCGATTAGCGCTAATCCAGGATTAAAATTTTGTTCCACTTTTTGTAATTACCTTCCTATGCATTACTTAGAGTAACATTTCGTTTTATCATTTCTTTTTTTTCGAGGTAAAGGCACCATAGTATTTTGTAACCTCTAGTTACATGTTCTTAGCCAAGAAAACCTTGCTTAAAATTTGGCTTAATCCTGGGTTAAACTTAACCATCTTTTGAGGAACTTGGCCTAGGGGTGTAGTTTGTTATACAGACCTTGTAAATGATAATTTTGTACCAAGACACTCTCTCAACGTTTAAACATTGTTAACTTTTTTTCTACGCTACAATAACTTTGAACATTCTCAATTACCTTTCTCATAGTATTTAACCAGAAGTACAAAATTAAAAACGGGACAAATACAATGCAACATTTTATTTGTAGCACATCATACTTTCAAAATATGAGTGTAATGGAAAGCGTCACAAAAGGACACTGAGCAACCAATAGGATTGAAAGAAGCTTCCGCGAAAAAAAATTTCTTCAAGCGTTGAGGATTATGGGTCATTGATGAATGCCATTTGTAAGTTTTAAACAGTTGAATTAAAATTCAAAGATTTTTTCAAAAATGAGAAATGATTAGTTTCGTTTTCCTGCAATTGCTACCCATTTGGCCTTCTGTTCACCAGTTGTCCATCTTTTAGTTCCTTTCTAGGCCAAGTTCTGCTTATCTTCTCGACCTTTTGCTTTCTGAATCCCTATCATCGTAATATCGTACTCGTTTATTTCCCTCTCTGTTGTGTTGCCGTCTGTTTCTTTCTGTTTCCCTCTGTCCTTCATCATCTCTACTCTCCCTTCTCTTGCAGTCCTTTAGGTCGGTTCTACCGTCCCGACTCTCCTTATCTTCAGAAGTCCCCTCCTCGGTTGAATTATTTCCGCTTGTACCATGTTCACCTCTAAGCTGCATTTCCAGGACATGCATTTGTGTTTCGATCAGATCTCGCATGACCTAAAGAGAGACAACAGAAAAATGACGAAGTTGATCTTTGGGATTTAAGCATTCAGAGGAAGTTACCAATGTCCCAAATTCAACCTGAGAAGAACAAGTGGAAGAAAATCTACGCCAGGGTTTGCCGAAGGATGATACTTGGGCTCGAGCTCCTAACCCTCTGCTTCCTTTAGTTTAAAGAACTTCTGAATCTCTTCAAGGACAGGCAACCATCTTTGTTTCGTCCGTTGGGAGAAAGAATTTCTCTGTTAAACGCTACCATAAAAAATTACCTTGGTTAGAATTTTTTATCGGGGAACTTCTCGAAGTTGACCTCGGTGAAAAAAACAGGCGGGTTTACACTAAAAGAGGAAAATATTAATACATACATCTACAGCACTTCTTTTAGTAATGTGAACATTCTTGGCTCGGTAGCTTTGCCGTCGGCGTTTGTAGTCACGCTGCTCAGCTAACACTTCAAATCGAGACTTGGGGAGACTATTTTCCTCGTCTGAAATGGAAAGCAAATGGAGGGTGGTGGAGAAAATATCAAAACATCAGTGGTTCACAGTAAAAGTCCACCTGAGGAGCCAGCAAAATACAGTACTAAAGTTATTCTGCTTACAAGTCCTGTGAGAATGTCCGACTTTACCTTTTGATTGGTTCGGGTTTGGATCCAACTCAGCATCAAGATCCTCCTTTGGCCCTTCTCGTTTGGCCTTAGAAACCTTTGTGCATAAACAACATGAGCTATTTCAGTAAGACGAAGAGAGATTTTCTGGTGTGCAGGTGACGTCACGGTGGCCATGCTGGTGGTCAAGAACAAAAGTATTTCTCTCCTCTGGGAACTAACTAAACTCTATTTTCATGTAAATTACTGGAAAAGAATTATATTGTATTTACCACCAACATAGTGACCTTGCCAAGTGGTCGCAAACCAAGAATACGATCCAAAATACCTCTCAAACTCATTAATAATTCATAAAGAAAATACAAAGGAAGTAAATGTTGAATGAGTGTTGGAAATTTGCCTCCTTCTAAAATCATGTTGTTTGAGAAGTAATATCAAGCATTCGACACAGTGTTTCATCACCAGATGAAACACCTTGAAGTTCGTCAAAAATACTCCGATGCAGCGTCGTATTTTCAACTCTCTTCTCAGTGTTTCATCGGGTGATGAAACACTACGTCTCAGATAAGCACAGATTTCTTCGACTCAAACGGTGAAAACTAAAATAAAAATACAAAACATGTAGGTAGAGAGCAAAATAGAACTGAAAAAATGAACCAAATACTACAAGTTCTGTGCTCTGATACCATACAAACAACGCAACAACTGTCACAGATCAACACACTAGTCACATTCGCGACCATCAGAACCACAAAAAAAACCTAATGGATTAGAACAAGTAGTGCAGCATAACGAAGGCAGTACCTACTTCCATGGTAGCTATGTTATGACCCGGAGTCAATACTGATACAGGCGCCGGGATCAATCCCGCGACCTCCCACCCATTTCAGACTGAGCATTCGATTTAGTTCACTGGTGTTAAAGTGTTAGATCTATGCATGGCCTGCAGTATTGAGAAAGCACGAGGAACTTGAGGCTGTTCACTTAACCGTTACACAGAAAGGATCACTCTTTTTTCATCATCTATTTTATTTATTACTTCCACAACAATCCAAACAACGAGGACTGCCTAGAACAAAACTGAACTTTTCAGATGAACGCCAACAAGAACCAGATCCTCGGGTTATCTCATGAAAGAAGTATAAAGAAAAAACGATCTTCTACAATGACACTATGTTTTTAAGTAGCTTGTTTACTGACCTCCACAACATGCTCATAGACAGCAAGGCGCTGTTGAGGCGATAACTCGCTTATCACATGGTCCATTGGCAAAGGCAAATCTTGCTTAGCTTTTTCTACACTAGCCTTGAAGAATGAACAAAATATATGTGATTGATAACGTCGCTTTGGCATTAACATGTCTGGAATAGAACAGAAAATAATCCAAACCTGACAATTTTCTTTGGCGATAGAAACAGCAAGAAATTTCCATAAATTCAAAACGAATGACTGAGTGCCTGTAAAGAGGAAACAATAGGTCTTGAGAGAAAATTAACGAAAAAAAATCACTGCACAGTCATACAGTTCTAAAGAATAATGATGATGATGACGATGATGATGATGATTTGCTCGGAACAGATTCAATTTGCGAATAATTTTCTCCTAACTTAAGGCTACATTGTATAATGAAATCTCATTGTTTTACCTGTTTCTCCTGAAAAATGACCTGTTTGCTGGCATACATGAGGGACTCTATTTAGGTTGAAAGTGTAGTCCAACTTAATCTATTTAGAGCCCTGTTAGCAAAGGATAATTATGCTCTGATCAGCGTGCAAAGAAAGTGGTATCCGATAGCCCGGGGCTAGTGGATTTTGCTACTGAGCTAATGAATTGTGTTCTCAACTTGCCCAATGGGCAGGTAAAGTTTTTTGAGGAATTCACTGTAATCAATCCTGCTCATCAAAAAAATGTTTTTGGGTTATAATAAAGTGTCTCTTGGGCTAGTACATTCTAGCTACAGCTTGCCCAAATGGCAAGCTCTAAAACAAACTTTCTTTGCACCCTGCTGATGTTTGCATGCATCCATGTAAAATCATGACTAACAACCTACTAGTGACCTGGAAACGCCTCCAATCTCCTAATGGTATCACAGTCATGCCAAGTTAAGCATACCCCCAAACTCACTGTAAAGTCATATACCCTGTCTACAACTAGAGGTAATCAATGATTACGGATCTGCGTTCGTCACTTACCGAAACAAAATCGAGTCAAAAGGAGTCCAGTTTCCCGGCTGGGATGCCCCTGATAAAATTAATATGGGTGGCTAATTTGCAGTGGCCCATGATAGCTCGAAAATTTCCGGTTTCCCGGCTGGGATGCCCCTGATAAAATTAATATGGGTGGCTAATTTGCAGTGGCCCATGATAGCTCGAAAATTTCTGCCTTTGTGCCACAGGAACACCAGATTAGATGTGTTTTGACAAACACGATAAAGACCAAATGTGATATAGTTCTACTGCACGTTTTCAATCTTACCATTACCCAGGAGATCCTGGAGCATTTGTTCCATACCCTCGGGGTTAGCAACTTTCTCCTCTTGAAGACAGGATAACACAAACCTCACAAGACGATCACTGGCACCTTCAAGAGAGCTGTGGCCAGAAAATTGAAGAAATGTTGAGTGAGTATTAACAAACAAAAAAGAAATGTTTGAAGCTGGTCAAGCCACTTCACCGTGTCAAGAAAAAGGCAAAGCTAGCCAAAACATTATTCAGATGTCAAGCACAAAGCTGGCTTTCGTTCTTCATACCCTTATTACAGTTTTCTAAGTTCAGGCATGTGGAGAAGCAATGGTCAGGTGTTTTTTGGGTGTGGTTTGATAAAACTCTTTCCCTGCACTAGTTAGGAGTCAATGTGGCACGGGTCTGAGTCCTGGCATCAAAGCCATATGTGGGTTGAGTTTGTTGTTGGTTCTCTCCTTCGCTCCAAGAGGTTTTTCTCTGGGTACTCTTGTTTTCCCCTCTCCTCAAAAACCAACATTTCCAAATTCCAATTTGACCAGGAATCAGGTAGACAAGGAACCACTTAGCGGAGGTGCTACTTCTAAATCGTTACTTATTTATTTATTTATTTATTTTGTTTTTTAATCAAAGTGGTTTATGACATTTTACAATATTGATGGTATGTGGCACTAGGGGTAGGTTCCACTTGGCCAGTTGCAAGATCAAGGGTTCCAACTCCAAACTAGCCTGAATTTTTTCAGGTTTTCACTTCACAACTGCAATAGTTGCATCTATAGCTGCGTTGATCTTCTTTCATTTAAGGGTGTATATGTTCATGTATTACATTCATGACAAGAAACGTATGTTATCCCAATAAAAACTCACACTGAATAACTCCTCACCTTAAATACTGAACTTTTGGCAGGTTTTCAATGATCCACTCCCTAATCCTCTCTGGTGATAAAAGATGAAGCTGAAGTTTGCTGTGGGATGGAGGAACCACCTCCCATGACATTATTGACCTGGCATTGTGACAGATTTATTCATTAGCACATGGTTTTGTATGGTAACAATCAGTTTCGCTACTTGTCGAATTCACTACATACTAGTTTGCAACAAATTCGCTACATATTACTTTCTGGAAACCACTGAAAATATTCCCTTAATCGCTCTAGAAAAAAAAATCTCTTAACATAGTTCTCGTTCTTTTAAGCTTGCCCCGCCAAGGGTGCAAGTCTTGGTGCAGGCAATGTAATTTAAACAATATCGCATTCTTTTTTACATTTTTCAAAGGCTAGATATAGATGTACAATGTAATTTCTTCTGGGAACCCAAGAAAATGAATATCAAATTTCACAAGAATTGGGAAAACACAGGTAAAATTCTAAAAATTACATGTCATTTTGTATAGTTTGACATGTATTTTCTTGGGCTCCCATAAGACATTTTTCTTTGGTATTATTAAACATGACTTATTACATCTATAGCCCCTGAAAAATGTAAAAAAGAATGCAATATGTTTTTAATTATTCTGGTACAGGGTTTTTTACCACTGAAAAATTAAAATTACTCAATTTCCTGAAGTATTCCATCTTACTTTGAATTTAATTTTGTTTGTCTTCATTAAAGGTTTACACGTAGTTGCAAGATGACTTGCCTGGACCCTTGCCCATAAAAAGGCAAGAGAGCTTAAAAAGTTACTCTGCTCCCGATCAACAAAACCTACTAGTCCCAGACATCTGGAAGGGACTTTTTTCAAGCACACGGCCCAACCCTACAATTTTGAAGAAAGCGCAGCTCTGCAGACAGTAAAATCTATCCAGAAAATTCTGGCATATTGTCTTTATTCCTACCTTATCTCATTATCGGTACTGGTGTCACCAACAGTTCCTTCTTTGTCTCTGCTCTGGTCACTGCAGGCTGAGTTTGTTTCTGCAAAATATTCACTGATAAACATCTTGTTCACAGGATGCATGCACACAAGAGCTTGTGTATTTGCTTGAAATATATAAACTTCTTTACCTATAAATACAGGAATCACCGATTTGGAAGTCTGATAAAAGAATTCAGGGCTTGGACTAACATCCTGCAAAAACAATAATTTACTATATCATTGAGAGTCTATGGTTACTTTCCACTATGCCAAAAATGTCTGGGAAGTTCAGATTACTTTGGTTTACATGAAAATTTCAAGTTGTTAAGTGTTTTAACCCTTGAAGTCCCAGTATCCACATACAAATTCTCTTGACTGACTGATCATTAGAATACTGATCAAAGTATTTTCCCTTGAGCAAACCTTATCTCATTCTCAAAACCTTTTATCTTAATATGTATTGATATTGTTTTAAGAAAATTGATGATGGTGACTCATTAGAATTTAAACTGTGACAATGATTGTGTTACCTCTGCGTCCTGCGTCCCTGACACATAAAAACCCCTTAAGACACAAAATAATTCATAGAGTGCGTCCCATAGGATGTAAAGATTGGGTTGTTCCAGTGACGGATGGGATTCTGGAAATTCTCGCGGGAGGGGGGTCGAAGACTCCGGAAATCCAGGCGGGAGGGGGTTGACCTTAAAAAAGTCTTCTGCAGGGGTCATTTCGACCGATAGTTGATACAAATCAAACGTTTAGTTCGATGACACTTAAGCGCTTTCGGACCCTGAAAATAGTCAAAATGTTTTGTTCATATATTTCTCACCTGACATAAATGATAATCTAAGTTGCTTTACAGGTCCTTTTATAGCAGAAAACGGGAACAAGATACTAAAGAACGGGCCTCAAGGAACTCGTCGCAACGTTGTTGTCACGAAGAGCGTCAAACGCCTGACACACATTTCTACCGAAGATAAGAGTGATTTTTATAAGCTAAGAAATTATGTAAACACTGTTCAGGTGTCGTTCGCATTTTTGTTTTTTGCTCCTTTCGTTTTTTAGTTCCACGCGATAGAATTCTTAGTTTAATATAAGCTGAAGCTTTAGAAATTAAAACAAAACATTTAGACGTGTTTGCGTGTATTTTCCATTAAAAATAAATTAAATTTAAGCCTTTTATTTTTCCGGAAATCCAGGCGGAGGGGGGGTCTTCCACCTTGGAAATCCAGTTGGGAGGGGGGGTCTTGTGCTTCAGGAAATCCAGGTGAGAGGGGGGGTTAAAAAAGGACCCCATCCGTCGGGGGGGTGTGGATTTTTTCTGGAATAACCCATTGATGCTTTGATCCATGTGTTTTTGTAGAAATATTCTGTTCATGAAATTTCTGTGGCAGTTACTAAGGTTGTTGTTTAATGTTGCATACATGTTGTGCCTTAAAATAGAAGGACTATAATTTAATATTTCAGTATACTGTTGTAAAGAGTTTTGGAGTCTGTCTTCATGCAGATTAACTGTCTGGGTACCTAAAAGCCCAAGCATTTTCAATTTTGGATTCATTGTTTTTTTAACTGGGACTCACTGGTTTTAGACTGGGACTCATTATTTTTCACAAAATGAGTCCCAGGACTCACAATCCTGTTTGTAACAAAATCACTGTAACTGGGCTGAGTTATTCCATATTTTCATGGTGCACCACTGGTCCCTGGTCCGGGTTAGAATTTCACAAACAAGAAAGAATCACCCCTTTCAGTTTATTTACCATCGTGATGCATATCTCATGAGACACTCATGTGCCAAGAAAAATAGAAAACAAGATGTTCACATGTTACTCAGCAACACAATAGACTGTTCAATTACACAATAATTTTAAGCCAGCAGCAGCAGTTTTTAGGGCTTTACATTCTACAATATAAAGAATTACTTGGTGGGAAGAAGGAATTAGCACATAGCACATGAGGTGATACACACCTTTCAAGAGGGTCATATAAAAACTGCACTTTACAAAATAATATATTACTTGTATATCTTGTAGGCCAAAATTACATTCAGGTTTAAATGTTTTAATGTATGGTAGGTTGATTCTCAATTTCCTTTGTACTGGATATCCTAGTCCTAATGCATGAATAATTAGGGCTAAGGGACAAAGGAAATTATAGAATTAACCTAGATATTGTAGGTTTACAATTCTTAACCTGAATTTACTTTTGACCTCCAACATATAAATATTTTTGTTTCCCTAATTAGTTTCTCTTGCAGAAGAACGCATGCATGGTACATATACCTGTTGTGCACAAATTTTCTGTTTCATTTTCTTTTCTTAATACCAGGGTATAACATGCTGTTATTATTATTTATGGTTACAATTCAGTTTTTAATATGACAACTTTTTAGGCTGCTAAAGAAGTAGCATAAAAATTATACTGCCTTGTTAGTACTTTACCTGAGGTTTCAATCCCTTGGATGTATACTGACATACACTCAAATGTTTCTCAAACCTTGAGGTGGATATTCTGTGACTTGGGTTGACTGGGCAATGGACTATTTTTGACTTGTTAGCCTTGAGTAAGAGATTACACAGATAGAACATTGCTGTCGTCAGATACTTTGGTCCTCATTATTAACGTGATCTCCCTAATTAGCTGATTCTTAAATACCTCTTTTAACAGTGTTTCCTTCTTCCACTTTAGTTTGTGCAGCATAGATTCCACTCTGCGTGCAGTTTCTGTCAAAAACGAAGAAATTTCCGTGATGCATTCCTCCTTGTCCGCCATTTTGGCTACGCACAATCGTAGAGACTGGTACGAGTGATTACCGACCGCGAGACGCGAAAGAGCCTGGAAATGAGGTTCCCATATTTGGCATCCGTCATCGAAGAGGGAAGGAGTAGTTGTTTTGGAATGTCTCGATAGAAGTGTCTTTCTACAAAAAATCTAAAGAGTTATCGAAATTTGTCAAAAATGGGCTGTTGCCGAGGGAGGAATATCCTCTTGTTTCTATTAGTTCTTCAGCTGGTAAGTACAGTTTGTGTGCGAGACATTAGTTGGCTTTTTTCGGTATACCTCTCGCGGTGTTAACATTGGGCTTATCACGGGCTTAGTTTAAGAACCTTCAACAATAATAAACATTGATCAATCGGCGGTATACAGCTAACGACAATTCTCGTTATGGTGTTTTTATTTCAGCTTGTGGTCCTAGAGCGGCAAGTGTTTGATTTTCTGGGCTTCATGTGGGCTCCCATAATCGCGAACTTCATTCACATCGCGTTTCTAATCGTCGGGATATTCGGTGTACTACAGTATCGCTCACCATACGTTGTAACGGTAGGAAGTCTGTGCTTTTATTATTGGTTATTTCACCTACAAAAAATGTCCTCTTTGGTAAAATTAGTGTCCATACCTTACTTGGTGTTTAAAATGACGTGTATTCTCTAAACACGTTTTTTTAAAAAGAATTTAATACGCTGTTACAAATGATACGATTTACTCAACGTGAGCTCTAACCGCTTGCTGACCGATCGAATATTTGACATTTGAATAGAACTTACATTTGTGTAAATATTGAGCTTTCCCTGTCGCAGGTAACCGAAATCAGTCTCTGTTGGTTTTGTTTATTAGGTTTAGTTAGTTATGCGTAAAATGATTCAGCAATTCCATTTTTACAAATGAAAAATATTGTAAGGTTAATGACCGCTTCAACCCACTTGCTCAAGAGTGATGAATAAGGAAGCCCGGAAAAGGGAAAAATATTGCTTTTCTCGTTGAATTTCATTGCACTGTCTGTTGTATGTTCTTTGTCTTACTCTTGAAAATATTTTAAGTAAGTGAGAAGAAAATGACACTTACAGTCATTAAACAATTAAAGTTGTTAACTGTCACTTCTGCTGAATGGCATGTTATGTAAAATTATTTGCATGGTTTCAGTTTTGTTAACTCATGTGTAAATTAAAGACTGACATGACATCATGCTTGTCTCCCACGCCACAGGTCTTATTTTACTACGTTGTATTTAGTTTTTGATATGGGTCCATGAGTCACATTGCATAATATAAAGTGGCTGATAATTGTCATGTTGTTACTAGTGAATAATTAGAAACATAAAAATCAGAAAAAGCAGTCTTAGAACAGTCATATTGTTTAGTTAGGCAAGTAGCACTGTATTCAGATTCGTTAAAATTTGTGGAAGTGTACGAAAGATCTATAAAAAACGTATGATTGAAAGGTGCCATATATGTACCTGGAAAATATTGTGATTCAGAAAATTAGTTTGCTTGAAAACTTGAAAGCTTTTGTGGTAAGACTCAAGTCTTGGTATGTGCTTTTCTTTACATCTTGGAGTCTCAAATGGTTCCAGGTAATTACATATAGGTGTGAATAATGTCTTATTATTAATTAATACCATGATCTTGGGCGTCTCAGCAAGTCTCAGATTGAATCAATGTTTGCCACCCCTCTTGATCTCAGTTGACACTGGAACATGATCTCTCCTGTAGCTCCAGAGTACTCACTTTGTCTGTCCATTTTTGAGTGGAAGCTAAGCAGTAGCCCTTAGTAATCCTTTTCTTCTAAAAGCAGTATCACTGTAATTGGCACCCAGGTAACACCTCTATCTTTGAAACTCAAGCAAAAGTGTCTTCAGTTTGCTGGTCATTACTATCGGGGCAGATAATCTCGCATTCTTTGGTGCACAGTGGGCAGAGTGCACTCACGTAAGCTGACATACCCTAGCTGATGATTGCTCGGGATTCATGCTTTTGATACAATGTACCAGGGACCTGAGCTCATGGATGGCGAATCGTGGTGTTTGGGAAGAAATCTTCAGGAATGTCCCATCCACTTCTGTGGTTGAAGGAAGACGATGATGATGTAAGGGACCCAAGCAGCGTGCAAAGAAAGTCGTTTCCAATAGCCCGAGGCTAGTGGATTTTGCTATCTGGCTAGTGATTTTTGTTCTTAACAAGTGCTTTTTTTCAGGGGAATTCAAATTACAGAAGGATTGTAATCAATCCTGCTAATCAAAAAGGGTGTTGGGGCTAGTTGAAATTACTTGTGGGCTAGTACATGGTAGCTACAACTTTCCCGAATGGCAGGCTGTAAAACTGACTTTTCTTTGCACAGTGCCAAGTCATAGTTTTTCAAACTCACTTTATCAGTCACTTGTCTTACACCATACAAATTTACCTTGTGAGTTGGTGCAATCTGAACTCTGAAGGGAAACAAAAAACAGTTCAAGTTACCAGGAATTCAAGTTATCGGGGTAAATTTCAGTGAAATTTTGATTAAGGGAAAGGCAATTTAGTTCGAGTTAGACTGTATCCGAGTTCGAGTTATCGGGGTTCTACTATATAGATAATTATGTGTTTGCCCTTTGAAGGGAACAAATTAAAAAATAACTGCATTGACAAACATGAAAGCAGATTGGAAGTCAGTGGTACAACACTAAATAGACAATTAAGCAATGTCCTAAACTTACAAATCAGCCCTTGTGCAAAACAATCTTAGAATGTTACAACTGAACCAGGAGCTGAAGGGGAAGATGCACGTCATTTGCCATCTTCTGGAGGATGCTTAGACGATGAAGATGGGCAAAGAAGCATGCAATAAGAGCCAGAGCAGGAGGAGCAGTAGTGCTTGAGCAACAGATGGAGAGAGGAGGAGTCAATTGCCCCCTGTTCCAGGAATTGCAAACCCCTGATGAGCCCACAGGTTCCCAGTCAGGAGAATCATTTGATAAGGATGTATGAGTAGGGGTATCAGCGGCTTAGAATTAATTAAACAGTTGAACATTCATGCATGGCCAGTCCATGAGGTTGGTGACTGCCCCCGGCTCACGTAAGGCCTTATCATAGGCCAGCCATACTTAACCGATAACATGCTGGTGTGTGCAGAGGATGAGAAGTTGGTATAATTGCAATGAATCACTCCAGCCTTGAGGGAAATGGGTTACTACTGTAAGACCGACCAGGCTGCAATGTCCTCAATTCGGGGACACATTTTTTTTGGCTGCATTGTCCAAACCAAATGATTATTGAGGAGAAGCTGTGGCTCATGCTCTTTAAGCTGCAGTTTTGCAGGCAATGGATTGCACAGATTGACGTACTTACCAACAACCTGTGAAACAAGTTTTGCTGGAACTGGGGACCGGCCTGGCCCATCAACAAAAGGCTGATCATTTCGGGTCAGAGCAGAAGGGGTAAGCATGCTTGACGCTGCTGTGAGACGATCCAGACCATCTTCAGGCCCACCTGTAGATGGCTGTGTAAATGAAGATGGCAACATGATTCACAGGAATGATGCCAGTGGCAATTTAATCACTTCCAGAGGTCAGAGTAGACGACAAACTGTGGCCTGTTTGGCCACCATAGCATATATATTGGACTGTTTGTGGGATTAAGGTTGCCACCTCCAGAGAACCAGAGGTTGCATCAGCCTGTGCTGGAACAGATCCATCGATGGAGGTTGAAGTCCTGTGGCATGGGTTCAGCTGAGGAAACAGGCAAGGCCTTGAATGGTGACTGTAAACTGTTACTGGTCGAATGGGAAGTAGCAGTAGATTGACAACGAGCATGTGTACAGCTCTGCAACAAAACAACAGCGATTCAACTACAGCACAAACAGCTAAAGTGACTACATGCAAAGGCAACGTAAGCGAAATGATTGAGCTTAGTGAAAGTACTGTAAAATTTCTAGAGCTCTGTAATTGCCTCAAGACCACCCCATATATGATTATTAATGGAGACTGCTGGTCAGTATTGTCTTGTGATTAACCATGCCTAAATTACATTTAGCCTCATAAAATAAAGTCAGCTTGACTTTTTATTGCACCAAGCAATCTAAGCATGATGTAAATTTCACCGACATCTGCTTAAGAAAATATACGTGTAGATCAAAAGAATTTTGCGTTCATATAGTGATTTTAAATAGTGGTATAACAGTGTAGAGGGCATAGTAGTGTGGTAGGGGAAGCTTTATAAATGTGATTGTTATGGAAGGGCAGCTTAACGGAAGATAGGGAGCTTCTTAGAGGTTACAGTATCTACCAATTGTCATTCTATTTGGATGTGATAGAAGTATTAAGACAGAATCCATCAGGAAATTAAGTAATTTCAATTTTCAGTAGACAAAATCCTTGTACCAGAATAATTTGAACAATACCACATTCGTTTTTACACTTTTCAAGGGCTATAGATATAATTAGTTATCTGTAATAACACCAAAGATTATTTCTCATGAGAGCCCAAAAAAATAAATGTCAAATTTCCAAGGATTTTTAAAACACAGGTAAAATTCTGAAAGTTTCATGTGTATGATATCATTTTTTTGAAATTTGTACATTTATTTTGTTGGGCTCTCATAAGCAATTTTCCTTAGTTTTATTACAGATAAATAATTACATCTATAGCTCTTGAAAAATGTAAAAAATTTAATGCAATATTGTTGAAATTATTCTGGTACAAGGTTTTTGTCCACTGAAAATTAAAATTACCCAACTTGCTGATGGATTCTGTCTTAATGAATATTGTTTATAATTCTGATTTTTTCTTTGTAGTATTCAGTATGGTGCCTTATTTGGTTTGGAATCAACCTGTTTATAATGGCCTTATACTTGGAGGTTGACAAGGTTACTCATGTAAGTAAAGTTATTAAAAATTAGTACAGATTAAAACTTAAAGGAGTGGATTTGACTGGTCTAGATCCCTTGCGCTCTCTCATTTGGCAAGTTTATGATGATGTCATTCACCCCTGTCAAACTGTTGGGAAGTCAGATTTGTGTGGAAGGTATTTGAAAGGACTTTATACACGTTATACAATGTTCAAGCTTGTATGATATGTATAATATGATATTAACAAAAATCATGCACATGAATGTTTTCTAATTGAAGTAAAACAGGAGTGTAGCTGAGAAGTGGCTGCTGGTAAATTTCTCTGGCTGAAAATGAGCTTACATATTTACCACCAGCTAAAATTGCTCTTGAAAAGAAAGACTTTGGGTAATTTAAAGGTGCTGTTACATAAAGAGCCAATTTGACTAATAGATAAACCTGCTTAGCTTTTCCCTAGCTTCATCGCTGATAAACTAGTATCACTATTCTTCACTAGAGCTATTTTTCTCCTTTTTTGATTGGTGTACCTTTTAGAAGGATGATTGGTTGAGCTTAAGCACAGGCCATCAAAGTTTCTGGTCAGAGAATGGTATTGGATGCAAGACAGTAACAGCAAATGTGAATGATGGAGCAACTGAGGCATCAAAAATTGAGGGATGCCTTCTTGACTTTGAGGTTAGTACATGTATCTTAACCCCCAATAAGCCACACATGTAGATAATGCCCCATTCACACGACCATGATAACATGGTAAGTTAAACCAGGTTTAACAAAATGAAAATCAGTCAAAGATAATTAAAGGACTGGCTTCTTACATGGGATTCAAGTCAGTTTTCAGTTGCACCAAATTAATTATTAGACTGTCAACAAAAAGGTGTAAATAGCCTTTATAATGAAAACAGTAATTACAACCGTGTTTATAAACTAGTGGTAAACTTCAGCTTTTTAGACTACAAGTAGTCCCCCATTTTTCTTCAGGGATAGTAGAGCGATCAAAACGCAAGAAATCACCCCATGTGAGAAAAGGTGACACGCGGCGGGGAGAGAGAAAAATGAGGGACTACAGACAAAGCCCAAGCTCTTTTCCCTTCACCGCAGACCGACTCGTTCTCTAGCAGCTTTTAAACATGTTTAAGCTTTGGTGGGAATGGGGAATTACAACACTTCTAAATGGCAACAGGCTTTACATTTACGTGCTGTGATAACATCATGTGTGGCTTTGTTTTCGTTATTTATCATCATCATCATCCTTGTAATTAGTCAAAGACGCTTGGTGTGCACATTGTTCTAGGCATCTCCTCTTTCACGAAGGACTAGTTATTGATTATTATGACAAAATCATGTACAATATATTATATTGTTAGTATCAATTAAGTAGTAATGTGATCATTATTTTAATTGATTTTCAGTTTGTGGAATCAATACAGTCTGGGGCTGAATGTGTACTTGCTGTAAGTGCAAAAGTTTAAATCTCATTGGTAAAAACTCTCTTCTGTAGATTACACACACTACACCACAATCACATGTATGACTCAAATTGAATTCTGCCAGGTTAATCTAATTGAGTGACCATCATTGTCCTCTCCTAAGCAAAGTGTTAACTGACAAGCATTTAATTACACCAGGCAAACAAACTGTAAGGGCGCTTCATCCAAAGGACAAACTGGAATTCGTTTTTGTTTTTTTAAGCCCTGTTTTTATGTTTTACTTAACTAAATTTTTCTCGCCATTGTTCAGTTTGCAGGTTTCTGGTTAGGCTGCTGGGTGGCAAGAACATTTACAGAGGAGGATGATCATTGTAAGAACATGAAATTCCTCTCAGAAGATGTATTTTGTTTTCATGCTAGAAATTATTTTATAGTTAACTAACCACTGTTCTTTTTTTTGTTGTTGTTGTTGTTGCAGTTGATTTTATTGGAGGTTTTGATTATAACTCTGCTCACCAACCACCTACAAAATCTTCCCGAATGCAGATGCAGCCTCTGTAAGTCTTAACCCTTTAAGTCCCAATATCCTCATACAAACTCTCCAAACTGATTCCCATACATTTCCTTTAAGAATTAGTAGAGGGACTTTGATAAACGATCTTGGCATTTTCTCTTTGGTGATCATTTCATTAATTCTCATAACTTTATTTCTTGACAATGTATGGATATTGTTAGGAGGAAATTGATGTTGGTCACTATTGGGACTTAAAGGGTTAAAAGTTTTAGTCATCAGTTTTACTCTAACAGTGATTTTGTTTCCTCTGCGTCCAGTGTCCCTGGTGCATAAAAATCCCTAAAGACGTTATTAAAAATAATTTGTGGCATGCATCCTGTAGGATGCAAAGATCAATTGATCCATCTGACAATGTTTTTGTAGAATATTCTTTTTCAGTGTGGCTGTTCTTGAGGCTGTTGTTTAATGACGCATATTTCTTTTAGTTTTTTTGTTGTGCTTGACAAGAGAAGGGGTATCTTTATCTCAGGAAACTGTAAAACAGAGTTTTGGAGTTTGTCTTCAGATTAACTGAGTGGATACATAAAGAGAGGGAGTCGTTGTTTTTAAACTGGGTCTCAATGGTTCTTGACGGCTAGGACTCCTGATTTTTCTTAAGATGAGTCCCAGGACTCACGATAACTATTTGTAACAAAATCACTGATCTAATGTACATACATTATGTAGGGTAATTGCTGGGTAATTCTTCTCTCTTGATTTACAAATTTCATCATCTATAATCATTGCCAAACAACAGTTAAAATTCCAATAATTTTACAGAAAGTAAACATGACCTTCGCCATAGAATAAACAACCTACTACTTGCGTTGTTCATTCTACTGCAAAGCTGCAAAGATCATGAGAGATCAAAGCCCCATTTTCATTATTTTATTTTTCTTTAGGTCTTCCTGAAAAGCACATGAATGAAAGGACCAGAAATTTTGACATCCTAAGTGGATGTATAATATCAATATTCAAACAAAGATGATGGGTTTTGGAGTAATTTAATCAAGAGGTCTGTCCATTGGGTGACAGAAAGACAAAGTTTGCTGACAGAGGCTCTGTAAAGAAGGCAAGATTGAAAAAAAATAGTTTTGTCTCACAACCAAAGTTTGATGCAAAAAGCAAAAACATTACCAATACCTAGTGCAACACCAGGTTTAATCGTAACTAAAGCAAAATTCTCAAATGTGATTAGCTATCTACTGTCCTGTTTTCAGCACTAATAGGACAGTACGTGTCATTCCTAAGTAATTAGACAGTATGCCCCATCGCATGTGCACACTTAAATGGCTTTTTTCACTGCCAGCAAAAAAACACTCACTCTTGTGTTTTAATTAAAAAATGCCTAGAATATCACAAATTTTGTTGTAGTTATGATTAATAATTAGTAACAGAACTTCGTGTCGTCCAATTCGGCCTGTAATCAGACTCGTGATTAAACAAATTGGACTCTCAAGTGAGTTTGTTTTAAAATCACTCATATGATTACAGACTGAATTTAGCCCTATCGCCCTATCACCATTATTTATTACATAATATTTTTTGTCTTGACATGAAGGGCAGGGAGAGTGCAAAGCTTTCTAGTACATGTAATCACATTCAACTGATCTCCCCATATGCATTCCTTTGTAAGATGCGGACACCTTCTTGAATTCAATAAGGTGACACCCAAGATTTGTCCCTGTTATTTTTCACTCTGTTCCTTTGACTGTCTATAATGCTTTAAAGAGTGTTTTCACATGACATCACCTCTGCCATATCGGTGTCCCAAAACAATAGTAAGCTTAAGCAACGATGATGGTGACAGCAACAGGAGCAGCAAAAAAGCAATAGGCTTACATTGGCAAAACAACAACTTTGCACATGCATCATACTTTTTATACATTTCTTTGCCGTAAGGACTATGACGTGAAAATGCCTAATTTCACTTTTTGTCCAGGACGTGAACACAAGAAAACGAATTTCTTTTCTTTTTCTGAACTAAGATACAGTCTTTTAGAATTCAACTCCAGAAAAATTTGCCAGCATTTAACGAATTGAGCAAGATGGATTAAGCATAATAAAGTTTGAAGCAGGGCGAGTTCACTTTTTAAGTGACATTTTCATAGCCTTCGTCTTCTTTGTTGTTTAAGCTTGCTAGTGAGACAGCCATTATGTTGGTGTCGCAATCCAGCCCTTTCGGAGTGGAACCTTTTTGTTATGGATTAAAAACTTTCTCACTATTTTAAGCAGGGCTGTTATTAAGAGCTGGGGGCCGGGAATTTCCCCCAGCTACTATGAACATGGCTCTCAGCTACTTTCATAGGAAAAAAGGACAAGAATACCGTAGAACCAAAAGAAATCGCTAGCTGTTTGATTCCCTTCTTACACGTACTTGTTGTGTTTACCAGGCAACTTGAAATCTTAGTGACAGCCCTGATAAATATAGTCATCAAAAAGACAGTATTTTTTGTTTCAGTTTTAATGGATACATTTACGGAATCACATATCAGAGACTTTGAAAAAACTAATATATCATGTTTTATGCTAGACCATAGAATTCATGACAACTTTTAAGGTGCTATCACTTGTGGTATGCTCATACATGTACATTAGTCTTGTCGTCTTCATAACATCTTTACCACTCTGTTACACTCTGTTAGTAGCCTGTGTAGGTGGCAGGATTAGTGGGGCAAGTGCGGAAGTTCTTTTAACAGGGGAACCTTAAGATGGTTAGGAGCAAGTTAAATGGCTTTGCCACTCTAAAAAATCCACCATGGCTTGGTCGCTCGCTTTGCATGCTGGTTCCAATGGTGAAAAAAGTACCACAGGCATAACAATCCTGCCAGCTACACAGGCCACCCTGTCTGGTGTTTAGCCAGTCATGTCTGTAGAAAGAGTATACTGTTCACTGTTGTAAGCCACTTTGAGAAGTTAGGAATTATGCATATTAAATTGTAAGTTTAAGATTTTTAGTCATTACTTATCCTTTTTCCACACCAGGGTAGGGTGTGGAAATACTTTACTCAGGTCATACATTATAACCATGGGAATCGTCTGTCAGACAGTTAAATGAGATGTCTGCTGTGTAACGTGAAGCGTGTATGATATTGCTTGGGAGAAACAAAAAAGATTAGAAACGTGGTTTATAATGTCATACAATTAAGGTGTGCAGTATTTATTGTACATATTGTAAGTGGGGCAGGATTTATATCTACATAGCATTCAACTCTAGGCATTTAACACATTAATTTTCCATTCATTTTTGTGATAGAATAATAAGTGGCAATAAGTGTTATGAATGGTAAATACTGTCAGGGTTCTCAATAGATTTTTAAGTAGGAGGTGATCACTGATAAAGTAGGAGGCTCTTCAGCAAAGCCAGAGGTGTCAAAACAAAGCAAAGAAAAGCGACTTAAACACAAAGTAAGCGGCTATAAATCCCAAAGTAAGCGGCGATCAATCGCCGGGTGCCGCCTTCTATTGAGAACCCTGACTGTAGGCTAATGCTGCTTTCTGTGGTAAATTGAAATCTGAATTTATAATTTAGTTGATGGCATTGCATTGCTACAACTGCCACTAAAGTCCTTTTGTTGTAACTTCAATGACAGAAAAGTTTTGATAGTTGCAGTTAAATAATACCACACACAGTAATAATAGTAGTAATTTTAGAACTCATAATAATTTGTATCCTTTATTATTTTTAGTATCATTAGCCGGTGAGCCTATTTATTGAGTAAACTCTTTGTTTTAGCCACTGGTTTCTTTTTAACGTAATACAGTATTATTATATTTGTGCCTGTATCCACAAGTTGAGAATTTTTAAGGATCTCTTAAGAACACTTATTGTACTTGGTCCCAAGTCCACGATTTGAGGATTTAAATGTTTTTTGTTGGCTAGTGTCACCAATTTAGTCGAAAGCTTTCTTGAAACTTATTGTTTAAGCCTTCTTTGTTAGTGTCACAGACGTGATATTTGGATGGCTTATTACTTTGGTGAATCACCTTGTAGCTTATAAATATCAACATTCTCTCATTTATATTCTCGACTTCGGGTACAAATAAAGAGAATTAACTTGTAAGGAAAATAAGTAAGGTAAAGGCCTAAGTAATAATTCCCTAAGACTCGGGGATTACCGACTACAGACTTGAAACATCTTGAGAAAAATCATTAGGAAAAAAAGCACGCTTGTGGTAGTCTGCTTTTTGAGGTTTTTTTTCTTTGATGTTTCGTCTTATGATTTTTCGGTTTGATTACAGAAATTGCCAGCTAATTTGAACTTAGTTTTATACTTTGCAACACCCAACTTAAACCGCCCTTGGCAGTACAATGTTTTTGTAACTTCTAAGATTTTTGGTTGGAAACGTCTCAGTTCTGAATTTGTTTTTGTTATTTTTGTATTCCTTTTAGGCCGTTTTTTTTCTCTTTTAGACTAGTCAGTGACTTTTTAAGTTCATTTTTACTATTTAATCGATATTATTTTGACCGTATTAATAATTTATTTGTGGCCTCTGCGTAATAAAAGATCGAAAATGATATTTTTTGTTTCATTTGCTCACCTACTTTGTAGAAGTAAGTCATCGGATGTATCGATTACCCGATCATCCGTTAGTTCATTTTGTACAAGGAGGCGTTGAGTCGCCCTCGTAAAGGTGATGTTGCACGAGACGATTCGCAACTTCGATCTTTAGCGCAACACAGCGTTGCAGTGTTGGAACAGTGTTGTAACTATTCAAAACAATGTCGTAACAATGTTGCAACGCTGTGTTGTGCTAAAAATCGTCGTTGCGAATCGTCTCGTGTAACATCACCTTATGGGAATCCGGATCCGGAATCCAGGAAATCCGAAATCGAGCAGCTCAAGGAATCAGGAATCCTACTAACGATTGGAATCCGGAATCCGGAATCCAAGTTCTACTGACAAAGATTGCAATCTAGTCCCTGGAATCCAGAATCCAAGGTATGCAATCCAGAATCCAAGACTGTCTTGGATTCCCTTGAAGTATCTGAAGTCCCGTCCACACGGAGTCCACACGAATACGGATAAACTGGGAAAATTTTGGTGTTGGATAGGTGGTCGCTTAGGGGAGGTGGTCGCTTACGAGAGTTGGTCGCACAGGAAGGTTCGACTGTACAACCCAAAATGCAAAACTCGTCTAAAAGGCTTTTCATTGGCTCCAGAAGCAGATAGAAAGCAGACACAAAAAGTCATGGGAAGTCATTTTTATTTCGCATCGTTTCAAAAGGAAAAAAATTAGGTGTAAATGGTTGACACTCAAAGCGTCTACGACGACTTACTCGCTTCAGATACGACAACCAAACCGGGATATATTTTACGGACAATCACTTGAATTGAGTTTATTCGACGAATAATCCAAGATTATATCGTAAAATGAAACAAATACAAGCAAAGCAAAGCTAAATGGCGGGCGTACATAGCTGACATTCCGATCATTCCATTGCAAAATTGTGGATTCTACTAAGAACTAACTGATAAATCAACAAAATCAAAGAAATCTCATTTAACAGGACTAGTAAGACATAAAGGTGAACTAATCACGATTTATCGCTACAAATATTTTCTAGTGGCAAGACAAAACAATTAGATATAATGTGAAACTATCCCGTATCCACAAGAGTAGACCAAACGTAGATCAAATCGCAAAAACTAAGTCTAGAAAAGGCTAATGTGCGCTAAGGTAAAACCAGAAAACTAACATAACTTTCAACGTTTCCAAATAGCGTGGTCGATCATGACTTAAGTTTATCACATGGTCAAAACGTTCATAGAAATTAAAGTAAAAGCCTTTAGCCAAAACTACGAAGATCACTAAATAGAGTAAGTACAATAAAGAAAGAAAACTTATAACTTACATAACAGTCCCGCTTGTAGCACTAGATCAAAACGACTCCAAAGATATAAGACCATATAAGGCACTCTCTACTACGACTTATCTCGTGTCTAACCAAAGCCAACTAAAGCGGTAAAGGGCGGGATTATATATCGAACACGTTTCTTGTGAAGTCAATAACGTCATTGTGCCTTGAAAAATTGCGGCAAACCAAACGAATTAAATAAATATCTAAACAATATTCTGGATAAGGTGTGTCAGCCGTAACATGGCTCCCCTGAAATGTTTACATTTTACATAAACAAAATGACAAACTAAATAAAAATAGTAAAATCAAAGATCAAAACAAGAAAGTCAATCTAAAATGTTCTATACGCTTTAAGAACCTAAATAGCAGGTACATCATTAATGTTAATAATATTCGTGGCTCCTCGACGGGGATGAACCTCAGGTCCAGACTCGTACCCAGTCGCTATTTATGTTATTAATTGGGGGTGAGAGAAGATTGGGGGTTAGGTTGTGGCGCGCGTGGGGTCCCATAGGAACGGGGACGAAGGAAAAATAGCACTATTTTTCATTTTTCGTCCCTTCCCATGAGACCCCGCGCGCGCCCCAACCTAACCCCCCAATCTTCTCTCTCCCCCACAACACATAAATGCCGACTGGGTACGAGTCTGCCTCAGGTCTAAAAGGCTTCTTGCAGTAGTACCAGCTTCTGCGCAGGGAGTTCAAGGAACTTTATGGGCTTTACGCGTCTGTCTTTCTTTTCCAACATCCTGGGGCAATGGCTGACTTTACTGTGCGTACGTGGCCATCGGCGCTCTGATGGGTCTCAGTAACTCGTGCAAGCTGCCAAGAAGGCCATCGTCACCTTTGATAATGACTATGTCATCGAGGCAAAGGAGCGGGAAACTCAACTTCTTTGCTTGGACCACGTGACCCGAAACGAATTGGCCGCGTGGAATATTGAGGCCTAGGGACTGGGCAAGGAAAAACTACGATTGGAATTAAAGTTTTATAGAGAGGAATGGATATACCATTCAATTTTTCCCCTCTGTTTTGATTGATGTAGAGTTAATAACGTCACTTCCAAAATTTACCTACAGCGAGACAATGGTTTGCTCATGCGCAATAAGGGAAGACTTGTATGTATATCACATGTATTTACCTAAATCTGCTCTTTTGTCCAAGATGTCACTAACAAACATACCAAAGGCAACATTTTTCTTGTCTTCTCATCAGGAATAAACTGATCGGCTCGACACTGACAAGTGACAATAGTTCGCACTACTATTTATTGTTCGACTACTATTCACGTGATTTTGTTACATTTTTCCGCTACATTTTGACTTGCTGATCAAATGATCCATCGTCTTTGATTGGTACATGGTGCCTTCTGCAATGCCATTTGGGTGCCTTAAATTAATATCAACTTCAAACCTTGGCCAATTCCACACCACCCCTGCTAAATCCCAACCTCATCCTGCGGGATGCCAACGTATGATTGCCTAGTGAAAGAGGAATCACGCCGTCGATGTGAATCCTCTGCTGTTTACAGGCAAGCAAAGACTTTAGTGCTCTTCTATATTGCGCCAGCCGCCAAGCGTAGATGAGAGGATCAAGAGCAAACTTAAGGAACAACACATCCGCGGAGAACAAGCCTGCAAGGTGAAGCCTTAACAATTCAAGCCTTGTTAGATCCTTCCAGTGATGCTGCAAGTAGAAAAAGACTGTTACAGGGAGGGAGCAAGAAATAACAAATGTAAGCAGTAAAAGATTGACGATAGTAAATTGTCTCTCTCTTCTGTTATTTCTATGAACACCTTGTCCTTTGCCCAAAAAGTGGTTGGCTTTCCAAGAGTGCAGTCTCCTCATCTGGGTTTTGAATGCTCTGTATAAACAAAAGTACCCTACGGTCAGTAACAAAAGACTTCCAGTCGTGTGGAAGTACAAGTCCATTTTTAGGAAGACCGTTTCTGCAACTCCGCTTGCCGACAAAATGGCAAACATTACCGTGTAAAAGTTAAGATCACGCTTGCTATAACTCGACTCTTCGTAACAAGCACTTTGTGCTTGAAGGGGAAGTTTATCGCTGTAAATTGACTCCAAGTAAACAACAGCAGAATTATGTAAGAGCTGTTCATTGTGGCTGCGGAAATGAGATGAGCAAAATGCCCTGCTTTTTGAAGTGATGGAATAATCGATGAATCTCGCCTTTTTACACTAATGTAAAGACCAATGTCCTCAAAAGCGGTCAACGGACATGTCGTAATACCTGTGAGAAAGTCAGCGACGGCTAGGCCAATCACAAAAAACGTATTTGGTGTACGGAAAGTTTTAAACGGATCCTTCCAAATCGCGAGCAGTAGAAGGCCATTCCCCAGGGCTGTTACTAAAGTTGCTACAACAAGAAAAACTCCTGATGCGATGTGCGAACCAAGATATATCTGGATAATTTGCTTTAAGTCTTCTTGAGTTTGCGAAGTAGTTGAGGAGTTCGTCATCTGTTTTCAAGTCAGCGATTCCTACCCCGGAATCAGTCTTTCATCCACTGTTAGGTTTCAATCTTCACGTAGAATGGGCTTAAATGGCTAGTAAAAGTCTGGCAAGTGACGTTAATATGCGAACGAAGATACATCTGGGTGAGTTGCTTTGGTCTCGAGTTTGCGAAGAACTTGTGGAGTTCATTATCTGTAATAAATTCAGTGATTCGTACCGGAGTCAGTTTTTCATCAACTGTTCGTTTGCAATCTTCAGAATGGGCTTAAAATGGTTAGTACAAGTCTGGCAATTGACGTTAATTTGACAGGAAATGCTGACTACAGAAGCTGTGTGTGTTTAAATGAAAGATCGCGATTAAAAGTTGGCAAACCTTTAATGCTGGAGTAGTGATGACTCAGGCATTTTCTTGCGTAATTCTTTTGTCTGCTGTGTAAACGAAGCCAAAAAAAGGAAAAGTGAAGATACTGAACTTTAAACATTTACTTAAAGATAAAAGCGGGTTTTAAGGCTTCACTTTATAACAAAGACAAAAAATCAACAGGATTTGCATGCAGGACGTTTTTTCGCGTTCATCTTCATTGTTAAAATTACAGAATTACCCCCAAAAGCTGATTCCGTTTCTGGGGGGGATGGAGATTTTTGAGAAGTGGTTTTGAATCTCTTGCCGGGCAGTGTTGTTCGAAACTGGGTTTAGATAACCCAGGGTAAGTGTGAAAATTAGATTCAGTTAACTGAGGAAGCTTAATTTGTTGATTGGATGTTCTAAATCGGCTCTAAAAAGAATGAGTACGTTATCCAAGAAAATGTTTTTGAGCAAAAGGAAAAGATAGCGGAATTAAAACTTAACCACATGTTAGCTCTTATCGGCCTTCGAACAAATGAGCCCAGTGAAAAATAAAAAATACATGATATTATACGACGATCTTACACTTCCGAAATAACAAGCCCCAGGGGATAGTTCTGTGGTAATGAAATAAAGCATTTTACACCAGCGCTTTGGACTTTCGATTCAGAACCATCATGATATATCTTTTCTTCAATTGCCGAAAAAAAAAATTGTTCACGTCGTTCCTTTGACCAGCTGTCAGCTGTTGGTAAGTAAAGCCTTCAGTTTTTAATGCCATGTGAGCGAGTTCGCCCATGAATTCTGCCCGCCCCTGGCAAATTACTTTTCTTGATAGTTTTCATGATCAAAACTGATGACCCAAAGCATAGTTAATTGAGTGGAATGGTTATGAAACCCGTCAGACTCCTTTGTTATATGTTTTTGGGGACCTGAAAGTGCACAACGTTCAAAAGAATTCCTATCATTTTGATTGTATTTACCAATAAAAACGTTGCATTAATTTATTCCGTAACAATTTGCTAACGGAAAACAAAGGATTGTGCACTTTCACGGTGCTTTGAACATAAACTGCAGCACTGTTGTTTTTATCATTGATGTTTGCCGCTTTTCATAATCAGTCTCCTCTAATAACTATGCCCAAAGTAATATTGCGACGAAACATTAATGAAATCACCGTTTGGAAATTTCTGATGTTTTCTTCTTAGTCCCAAACGAAGCATTGTTCTATTTTTTTTTCAGACTTTTTGCAGCCTGAGATAGACTATTAAATGTTACACGGGCTCAAAAGTATACATTTGATTTTGGTGTATTTTTTGTCGGATTTGTTAAGAAGAACGTTTTGCTTTCACTTGTGAATTGAATAGCTGTTCGCCGGCTTATTCCTTACAAAATTTTGGTGATAATCGATTGCTTTTTGCTACAATATATGACGTCGTTAGAAGAATGGTGTCAAGGCGTTTAAATGGTGAATTAGTTTGTCATAAGGCCTCTTTCATTTACAAGAATGAAGTGCTGAAAATGGGCACGACCGCGAACGTCAAATAACTAATAAAGGGGTGGGGATTTGACAAATTTTAAAACTTTTGATCAAATTCCCCAGGGTGGGAAACAAAAGGTCAATCAAAAGTGTTAAAAAAGCCCCCACCCCAGGAGAAAAAATCTAAACAAACAGTACTATAATACTATATAAAACGAATAAAAGAACATTTCAAAAGTTCGTTCTTACTACTTTTATTTAAGGTTAACGTAAGCTCCGTTAAGTTATTCGCTGTAATTAAGTATTTTCTCTCTCCACTAGCATCTTTATTTTGAACAACAAAATCACTTCAGGAAGATTGACCGCGGCTATTATAATATTAATGAAACGTAAAATGCTTTATAACATATCTGCTCAAAGTGTCGGAACAGGTCGGATCAGTGACCCGTAAAAAATCCTCTGACTTTCATGGTGGAATTCAATTTCAATCGAGTTTTACAATCAGATGGGAACTTGAAGATAAAAACTTTCTCAAAATAGACATTATCTGTTTAGATGACAGTTTAAAGTATCGTATTATGGCGATTAAAACAAATGAAAACTTCATACCTTTCTCCAACAGCGTGACTGTCAGAAAGTCTCGAGGGACATACTTGGTAACCGCCTCTGAATTGATACCAGGGTTCTGTCGGTCAAAGTCAAATGTCCCGACCCCGGGGGCGCTTCGCACGATCAAAAGCCCGACATAGGGGATAGTCTCAGGCATCAAATCCCCGCCCCTTGCCCGCACTCCTCCCCCACGGGATTTACATTGATAGGTGCATAAGTCAACCGAAGTGGACTTTTTGCACACTTGAGCGGGCACACTTAGGCGTTTAGGCGATGGAAGAATAGTGAACTTAAGCAAAGACGTTTTTGAGCGACGCACGTCAACCGGAAGTGGTTTTTTTTCATTTTTGGACAGTGGTTTTGCCCATTTTTTAGGACAACTTGTCTCTATAATAGTTAAGACACTTAGAAATACAAATTTGGGAGCGTCAAGGTGCTTTAAAATGAAAAAGACCTCACTTCCGGTTGACGTGCGTCGCTCAAAAACGCCGTTGCTTAAGCTCCCTATTGTTGAAATCTCTTAACCCTTAAAGTCCCAATACTGGACCAACATTGATTTTCTCCAGACATCAACAGCTCATCATCAAGAAATAGAATTGTGAGAATAAATAAAACATAGTCACCAAAGCTTCCTCTATCAAATTCTCTCTACTAATTCTTGAAGGAAATGCATGGAGATCAGCTTTCAGAATTTGTATGTTGTTATCGGGGCTTAAAGGGGTTCATCGAGATAAAAGTAAACTTCCACAGTCTTGTACTGTCGCAATTTGTAATAATCATCGCACTTTGTAATACCTGTCGAAATTTGTAATAAATCCATCGCACTTTGTAATACCTGTCGCAAATTGTAATAAACCGTGTCGCACTTTGTAATAAAAAAGCTGTCGCAATTTGTAATAACAGTCCATCGCACTTTGTAATAAACTAAGCTGTCGCAATTTTTAATAATTCCATCGCACTTTGTAATAATTTTTTTAACAGTGATTCAACGTACTTCGTCAACATTAATATAATGACAAAATATGCATGGTACTACATTAACAATGATGATGACGTATGCTAGCACGTAAAATCTCCGTTCGTTCAAACCATTAAACTTTATTCACAGTCCTAAACATTTTTTGCCCCCGCAGGGATTTCGCCTAGAGGCGAAATCACGAGGAGGCACCCTAGTAACTCGCGCGTATATTAAGGACAGTACTTACAGTTCAAATATACAGTCAGTATACTGGAAAAAGTCTCGATTTGCTCGAACTGGGGCCGCGAGGAATCGGTAGGTAATGATGACGTTTCTATTGTTTGCGCCCGCAAGTACGAAATGGTTAGGATGACGTAAAGACAGAAAATCCCGAAGGGACCGCTCAGGTAGATTTTGTGACATTTATTGTGCAGTCATACTTCGATACTCTTTTGCGTTACGCAGTGACATTCTGTGGAGCAGTTGTTTTGAAAGTTATGGACCAAAAGACACTCGTTAAGCGCAGGGGAGGTTATAAGGTGCGTTTAACTGTGTATATATAAACACTTGGAGAGTTTGCCAGACACGAGTTCACAAATCTTTGATTTATATTGGAAACCTTGCCAGACACTCTTTCTCTCTCTTTGACCGGAATAAGACTCAGCCCCAAACAAGCAAGACAAGCGAACAACGGCTAGCTTATCACTAGCAGATTGATGGACATTTACAGAAATTCGCCGACCATCAAATTCTGCGCTGACTTATTCCCTGCTCATAGATGTTCTTCCGTTGTTAAGTTTCAAATAAGACTAGAATGCGCTAGCGTGAATCGATCAAACGTTCTTTTAATTTCTAAGGCTTCCTTTCCGGCAAATAAAATGAACTGAATGTAAAAAGTGAAAGAGAAATAGCGAAGTATTCAACTTCTAATTAAATCTTTTCTTATGGTTTAGAATAAACTATTCTCGAAACTGAGAATGTTTTGATCAAAGCTGTGTAAATCGAGCGGAAACTGTGCATGGAACTTTGCGTTTCCTGTATTTATCTCACCTATTGTATGGAATGTGTGTGAAAATCTTCATTATGAATCGGTATATTTCAAAGAGCTACACAACCAGCAAGAATACTATTGACCGACAATTTAAAGAACGGGGGCAGCTGCAGTGTCAACTATTACTAGTATAAAATTAATGTTGATTAGTTATCTGACTTACGAAATGCTGTATCCTTAAACCTTGCTATTGTACTAGGTGGTTTGCATGCAATGGTTACCCGGCGGGAGTACTTCGACCTTACATGAACCATAAGGGGATGTGCCTCTGGACAGAGCATTGCCAGAGTACAGGATCTAAACAGAGCTAGACACACTAGACACAAACGAGCCATTATTAAAAAGCATTTAATTTCCGCAAATCGTAACACCCATCCTACATCATTCGAATAAGGACACCAGGAAAGTTCAAGCTTTCCTTTTTAGATCTTATAACATGTCGACACAACACCTTCCTTGTCTAACGTGCAATCTTAAAGAAATAATGGTGGCTTAGCTTCCATATTTTGGCCAACTTAATCAAGCAAGGCCTGGAAAGATTGAATTGTTTACTGTGAATAAACAAAAACGTCACCAGTGGCAAACCGTCGAACCACAACAGAAACATAAACAAAAAATCCAATTAGTCGCTGGCCAATACCTTCGTATGCACCCGTTTTTATAAAACTCACTTGGGGTCTAACACTGAGCCGGCTGGCCATTTGGTCCATTATTCTCTCTTGATTTGGTCCCATATAGGAACAAAAGGATTCCATCTTAAAACAATTTTTTCTATATGGCGCCCTCTAAAGCAAATACCGTGGGGATAGTCAAAAATTCTTCTTCCCCGCGTATATACAACTTGTAAGGACTTGCAGTTCTTCCGTGCGTGTTAAGGATTACTTTTTCTTCCACAAAATGGAAAGGATGGAATAAACAATCCATTAATATTTGAGTTACCTTATCTAAGGATATCAAACCAAAGACACAAGGCCAACAAGGTAACTAATGATACTCTATTAAAGGATCGAGATCCTCAAAAACCATACACTATCAGGCGGTACTTACCTAGCTAACCCATCCATATATGGGATTATCCTCCCCCGAAGACGTCACGTATCACGTGGCAAGCAAACATGGATTTGGACGACGAATGCCAGATTATTCATGAATTTTCTGTTGCTAAATGTCGCTTTGGTTATTTGAATATTTTTGAATTTAAACATGATTCATATCCTGTTGGTGATTTGTCACAGGAAGTTCCATGTCTTTCATAAAAGCGATTCTAGTTGGTCACGTGATTAATCAAGGCAGAAAAATTTATAGTGGAAGACATCCATGTTTGACTACACGAAATGTCACGGAGATGTTACGTGCATTATAGCAGACGTCATCATCTTTGTTTATGAAGTACCATGCATATTTTGGCATTATATTAATGTTGACGAAGTAAGTTGAGTCACTATCAAAAAATTATTACAAAGTGCGATGGAATTATTACAAATTGCGACAGCTTAGTTTATTACAAAGTGCGATGGACAGTTGTTACAAATTGCGACAGCTTTTTTATTACAAAGTACACGTTTTATTACAAATTGCGACGGGTATTACAAAGTGCGATGGATTTATTACAAATTGCGACAGGTATTACAAAGTGCAATGATTATTACAAATTGCGACAGTACAAGTGTAGTCCTCTCTTTTCCTAATTACGCGAGAACTTTAAATCCAATTCATTTTCAGTTCTAACCTGTCGCACTAGCTAAAGCGACTTCGGTAGACACACTCAAAAACTAGCATTGATGCTAACCAGAGCCCCTCAGACTATTGCTAATTCAACTGCAGAAGTGCAGGGCTGTCATATTTACAACACTGTTGTCAGAGGCATTATCATTGAAAGTTATGCAACGCGCGAAGAACTGCAAAAATGAACAACTCGTTTAGCCAGAAAGAACTGCTTTAATAAAGGTATGAGAAGCGATGGATTATTTGGTTTTCGATTAATATTATAATAACACTTAACGAATTCAAACCTCCATTTAAACATCTTCGGAGGGAGTAAAGACTAAGCAGCATGAAGCGGTGCGATGAAGTCCCTGCGCTTAATTCAAAACTGCAGTTAATTCATTCAGTTAATAGCTAATTGTTCACTGTCTGAAAGCAATAGCCACACTCGGGTTAGGGAGCTATAAGCAAAGACGTTTTTGAGTACCAATATTGAGCAGAACAATTGGCCAGTACACTGAGAAAATACCATAACATACCATAATGCTCTTTGTTTGTCATCCCAAAATTTTAAATATTTAAGAATTGTCTTCAGTTTCTCTTGGGAGTTAAATGGGGTGACAGACAAAGAGCATTATGGTATGTTATGGTATTGTCTGTAGTGGCCAATTAATTGTTTATTGTTTAATACTTGGATCAAGCAGAGCCCTGTGTTTTACTGTACAGTAACCACCCATTTGCTGGATTCAAGGACTTCATAAGTTCAATAAATTTTGGCACATTTTTTTCGAAAGTGATGCACATTGTTTATTGCTAGAATTTTCAAATACATTTGGCACTTAAGTTCTTCGTGATTACATCGTAGTTACTGCCAAATAGATGGACCTGTTGGTATTGGACACTTGGTGAAATTGAACGCACAGCATTTCTTCTGATATTTGCACGCCTGGTCGAAATTTTTTTCGTGCTTTGTGTAGCAGGTCCCGCATTCATTCAAGCAACGTCTTGTTGTCAGGTAGGGTGGTGTGCCAGGTTTCCATGGTATACGTACTTTCTGTTCACATGTTGGTGTATTATTAGGTGAATAATTAGAGGAACTGGCCCGAGTGCAAACTGAAAAGGAAATTATGATTAAAGGAAATCTTATATACCGAAATAGTATAAGGTGTGGAGACGGACTAGAATTACGATTTGCCAAGGAATTTAAATTAATAAAAAATGTTACTGTCAGTAACAAACTTTCATCCTTCTCATACCGAACTTTTGACATATATGGAAGATGGATTTTTTCATCTTGCCCCCAACTCTATAGAATAGTGTAAGATAGCTAACACTTAAAGCGTTGATTTTGTAGAACGTGTGGGAAAGTTTATGCTAAGTGCTTTACGCTACGAAATTGCCCATTTTACGTTTTTAGGATTGGAGGCCGGAGTTATACCTTGTTTTGATACAACCCTTTTTACTTTATTATGTGATCATTTTTTTTAATTGTTGCTAACTAACATTTTTCACCATTATTTCCACAAAAAAAGTTAACTAACGAAGTTTTCATCAAACGGAACGTTCAACTTCAGTCTCACATTTGGTACTGAAAACAATAAAAGTACAAAGTTGACAACAGGAGATGGTCTATTGTACGCCATCTTGGATCCGGATTTTTTTCCCGGGAGAATCATCTTATTTAAGGCTAAATTGTTACTAAATTATTATTGTCTGGTTTTGTTGATTTCATTTAACGGACGTTTTCGAAAGTTAAAGGAATGCAAGCCAAGTGTAAAAATATATTATCAGTTTAAAACCACAACGTTACCGGCTTGCTTGTTAAAAAGAACGTAGACCACCACAATCAATGATTGAATAAAAACTGCTCTGCGGACCACCATTTTAATCACACCAAACTCGTTCAACTGCAAGACACAAGAAAACCATCATCACTAAAAATGCTAATCACTCTTTAGATACCTAAGAAACAGATATGTAAAGATGATCTCTTTGGTTATGCAAGGAAATGTCTTTTTTTGAAACGGGTGTGCTACAATATCTTTTGTGAGAAATATAGACTTCATTAATTGGCAGTTTTACCTTATTTTCTAGTTGAGGCTAACGAGAGGGAAAAAGAGAAACCAGAAAAAAAAAAATATTTTAAACATTAAGAGACTTGGACAGAGCGAAATGGATTGAAAACTCAGCAAATGCTCTTTTTCATGTTCGTTTTATCACAGTGAAACAACATAAAAAAAAATGTCATATTCGTTGTGGTTAACTGACTGTTGCAGATCGCCGGATTCTTTGAGCACCTTTATAAAGGCTTTAAGATGCGCCCAAAAATACAAAAAGTATTAAAATTGGGCTGCATTCAAGGACAAAAGATAACATACATTTTCCTTAAAAATGTCGTTATAATTATTTACAAATGTAGTTCGACATTCAAATTTTGTTCGTGTTGATGAAACTTTTTTTCCTTTTGAGATGGAACCAATTTAACAACGATTCAAACTAAGTTTGAAAATTAGTTTGGTAAAAACCAAGGACAACAACCTTTTTCTACCTAAACATCTTGCTATATTTTTTATGTATTTTATCAGCTCAAGACAATGAGGAATAATTTCTCCTTTCATGAGCTTTGAACCTCCAAGTTAACTTTGACGTTGCTTCCTCCATCGGGATATCCTTGAAAAATATTTCCTTTTAATAGCCATCTCTACTTTTTAACAATAAAACTTAAGGAACTTACCGTTTACATTAGGCTGATTTAGCAACAGAACCGAAACGTTAGTTGACGACTGCGCGCGCATATCAACAAACTGGCTTGACCAATGGCAGAGCAGCAAATTGGGCACCGGAAGCCGAGTTTAGACCTTTCCGCGTGCTTTCCCGTGGTCAAATGATGTTCCCGTTCTGTTGCTAAATCAGCCTATTAAATCATACAAAAAGTGATTCTTCATCGGGATAAGCATATGCTTAAGGTAAGTCAATACTGGTGTCGCTCTTCCAAACTTAGACCTCTGAAGGAGAGCATTGGGTTGCTTGTGTTTAATCTGAGCTCTTGAATAGGCTTTTGTACGTTTACTATTGTGCTAGCATTTATCCGAGCCGTTGTAGCAAAAAAAAGTAATTAATTGTTGACATTTTCCCGGAAGATATAGAGAATACTTCATGGAAAGTGCTGGCGTACGGTATTTACGCACGAGTTGTTGACGTATCAGAAATCGAACGAGTGAGCGCAGCGAACGAGTAAGATTTCTGATACAAAAACAACGAGTGCGTAAATACCGTACAAAGCACTTTCCATGTGGTATTGTGTTTATTATATACATACTGAGACATTCATCATTTTGCAGGCCTTTTTATTTTAAATCTTTCAAAAATGCTAAAATTTGCCGCTACACACTTACCGCAAAATGACAACGAAAACGAAGTATCAGCTTTTTAGTAAAAACGTTTGTTAAAAACATAAATGACGGTGAGGATATGAGGTTTAATCCAAGAACTATAAGTAATCTTAACTGTTTGTTCTCAATGCACAATTGAAAATGAGTGAATTTAAGTAAAATGGCCGGTTTCAATATAAGCTTAAGCTTAAATGAAAGGCAAAGTAGCTCCGACAAAAAGCACAACAAAAGCTTACGTCTCGTTCTGTTTATCCCTTTCCGCTGTCGTTTCGCCGGCTCTCTACCGTATTTTTTTATCGACAGTGAAACAAACGAAACTATTCCACTCCATTTCCGAAATGTTTTTCACTTTTTTAGCGAGAAAAACTCCTTGAGAAAACTTTTCTCGTTGATAAATGTGTGCGAAGCGGCGCTGCAAGCTGCAATAAAAGGCGGGAATTTTGGCGCGAAACTCGCACACCTCTGTGGCTTCTGATTGGACGTATCATTTTTCTCACACGTGAAAAAACATCGTTCGCGATTCTGATTGGACGTATCGTTTTTTTCACGTGTGAAAACCATCGTTCGCTCCGCTGATTGGCTAGAACTAATTTGCGTACGAAAATTTACGACATAGCTTTTTGGTGAGTATTTCTCAGTATGTATATAATAAATAGTTTTCTTTTCAGAGAAAATAACATTAAAAATAAAATTACGAGAAAGCCAAAACTAATAATAACTCTTTGACGTCCGCTTTGGTCGTTTTTGGTCCATATGGACTCGTGCATATTTCTCTGGCAAATGAAAGGGAGACGGGTAAGTAAAACATTGTGCGCAGTGTAAAACAAAAAATAGCTTGCCTTCTTTGACTATTCAAATAGAATATTTAATCTTTTTTTGCAATCATTTTAGTAAAGGGTCATAAAGTTGATCTCTTGTGTCTTAAGAAACGTGTCTAGTTTTATTGGGAGTGTTTATTGATTAGCTGCCTGTTTCAATTGATCTTTGTTAAGTTGTTAAGTGTGTTTTTGTGTTTTTATAATAATACGTCAAGGTTCTCAAATTGGGGTTATTACTGAGCTGAACTACTTTGTATGCAAATGTCGGCTTGTTAGCTCGCATAAGTAACTGATTAACGGCGCGACGCGTGAAACGTTAAGACTTCAATAGTTAGTCGTGAATTCGTTTAGATAGAAAGGATAAAACGGTTTTGTAATAGTCAGACAAAATTGAGATAAAGAGTTTTCAACTCCTCTTTGTGTATGTGTGTGTTTTGTATATATATTCTTGGGTTGCACGTGACGTCACCAAAAATCAAACTAAGAAACTATCGATTCTTCTGAGTTTCTACTTTCACGAGGTATTACAGTACCTAAACATCTTTACATAAACAAATTTTTGGTTCGAAAGGGTTCTTCGTTTTGCGAGAGAGGACGCTTGAATTTCCAGGCTTTTGCGTGACGCGGCATTTAGCTGGAGGCCGGGAAAGCTCTTATGTGGGTTAAAAACATCACGGATTTTGGGAGATTTTGCAATCTAAACATTCCTTGTCTCAGAATAAATATTACTGTAATCTTTATGAGTTCCTCAAGCGAAGAATTCACGCATTAGTAGGAAAACTCGAAAACAGATGTTTCTGTTGGTATCTGGCGGCCATATTGGTGTTCCTGAAAGGGACACCAACATGGCGTTTCCATACAAAGCTTTATAAATTTAGCTAAACCGTTTTTCCCAATATCTCGCGTTTGAAATATTTCACAGACCTGATTCTTGGCAAGGGTTTTTGTATATTTATCTTTTTTCATTTCCCAGATTCTAGTCCTTCTGTATTGAATGGTTTGCATTTTTATTTTTCATTGCGTGACAGTGCAAGCCGAGAATATATATATATATATACGTTGTGTATACTCGCTCTACTTTATGTATTGAGCACTGTTTTACGGATTTCAAGTTCAAACCTCTTATATATATATATATATCCGATTTTTAGCGCCAAATAGAAGCCATTAGTCGTTTCTAATGGGCTTGCTAAACTGTCAAATGGACCTTATGGTGTTGTGACGTCATTACTAGTACTTGCCTAAATATGGTTAGCATAAATTAAACAAGTTTCCCGCGCATTTTATTCACTAGCTATTTATTAAATTTTGCTGCACACTTGCTGCCCCATAAACAGGTATAATTCTGCTGGGACACCACTACTGCCGCCATTTTGTATTGGGGTTGTCCCTTGTAGCAGGATCTTTCTAGCCGAAGCAGCTTTCATGGAGCTAGGATCTTTGTTGTGCTAGGATCTCCCTACCCAGTCTCAGCTAGGAAAATCCTGTTATAGAAGGATCTTAGCGCTGAGTAGGGACTTTACAACCGTTTGCATGTAAACTCTGAACAGGTGAAAACACTAACTGCGCAAAGGATGATCCGCCTTCTATAGGATCTTCCTGTTGTTAGGATCCTCCTCCCTTCCTGTTAACTGAGCCCCTTGCAGTGAAACCTTTGCTGGTGATCATTTACAGACACTTTGATGATACATACATACTTTATATTAGCCGGGTTTGAGGTGTGATATCAGGTGTAAATTACAGACCGAGTTTTTTCCATCGATTTATGCGGCCTTCGCGCGAAGCTTTGGCTTCCTGTTTGGTGTTAGAAAGAGAAAGCTCTTGTTGGCTCACTTAGAACATTACAAAGACTCTCCATCGAAAGTGAAGTCAAAATGCGATTCTGCCGTGTTAGGTTTGAAAAAGCTTATTCTGTCAAAACTAAGAGTTAGCACTGTAAGTTTGAGCTCGAGCTTGAGCCTTCTCGAATTATTACGGCATTATTGTTATTTTCCAGAAAATTTTAGATGCAATCTTAAGTTTTCCGAAAGTGATAATTTTTCCGATTCCTATATTTCTACCAATATTCAAATCCGGAAATTTTAGATTTCCATTTTGCTATGAAAAAAGCTAAACTTGGGAGGTGAAAAGTGAAAAATTCAGTTTCAGAAAAACCGTGTATGAATGGAACAGTCATCTAGAAAGTTTTAGCCTCCTTCTAGCTAATAGAAAGTTCTAGGTAATAGTTGCTTCTTTATGCAAACAGCTATTTCTGAATCATCATTTCTAAAAACGGCGTTCGGTGAACACATAAGATGAATAAACTTTCCTGGGCGTTTGTAATATATCCTCTCTTTTGGCAACTCAGTGTCGATTAACAATTTATTTATAATGTTTTGCGAGCCACAGAAATCATTAAACAAAATGTCGATCGATCAATTTTACAGGCCGAGAATTCGACATCCTGGTGCATTTGAATATTCTCTGAAGACTCAGTGGCCCGTTAAGTCATTTGCTAATACGTAAGTCAACCATTTAGAACGTAACGAAATAAACCGAGTTTCTTTGAGTTCATCTCTTTGGCATGCTATGTTAAGGCAAGGCTCTAATTTCCAGCGGATTTAGGATACGTCAGCTTTTTTTACATGGCACTTGGAGTTGTTCCCGATTCGATTGCTTGTTGGCTGCGGACCTTTCGGCTCTGGTTGATTTTTGTGGGATATATTTTGTGGCCATTCAAGAAGGATGAGCCTCCGCTAAAAGCTGCTAGACATACCCCTTTGTAATGTTAACGTTTCCTAAGCAGTTTCTTTCTAATCTTTTTTGAAAGACAAATATATAAATATAGATTTAAAGAGAAAATGAAGCAGTCATCACTGTTCTCTCATTTTAAGCAGCTACAAAGAATAAAATATTTATAAAATACCTTTAAAATGGCTTTCGTAATTCTACTCCGCGGCTACCTTTGTCTTTGTTTGCGCGGAATAAAGAACTGATTAGTAGAAAACAGCATATCTTAAACCTAACAGCATGATATATATACATTTCTCTTACTCAGCAGCTGTTCAGTTATAGATTAGTTGCTTATATATAGGAGATAGAAATTGAAGTTAACTTCGCTTTCGTGTTATTAAAGGGATAAAAGATGTGACGTTTCAGCACATCGCAATAAATTATTGCAGATGATCAGGTGTAATTAATCGCAGTTTACTTTATTGCGTCGCGTCACCTAAAACTAAAACGATTATTCTAGTCCAGTTAATAAATGTTTCGCTACTGTCATTAAAATTATTAAACAAAATGCGGATTATACAATGCAAATAGTTCAATGGAAAATAGCCACTTTGCAAACAAACACGCTACGGGAAAGCAAGGGCAGGCGCAGTGATGATAGTACTTTTTATACCTCGATCCAGAGGCCAATAAAAATAATGCCAGTGACACGAGTTCGTTATTCTCGTGGCGATACTACTACATATATAGTAGCTTTTTGTGGTTTCAGATTTTTCTTTCGGTACATACTCCAGTTTTCTCCTCTCTTCTATCCTGGAACGCCCAAACACTCACAGCTGCAAGAGTTCTTAGGAACTCTTAGGTGTTTCGGTTTCGTCGTTAACGTTGATTGGGCTGTACTCCCCTGGGGGGGAGGGGGGTTAGGGAGAGGGAGGGGGAAGGGAACGTTGCGGGCCCATTGCCTTAGCCAGTTTGTCGCATGAAAACCACTCATGATCAGGTCGCAGGTGAAAAACATGAAATTTTGAAGCTGACGTCTTTTGATAAAACCTCATGCTACCTTCACAAGGGAGTTTAAGAGAGTGCGTTTCCTCGGGAGAATCCAAGATTAGAGTTTTGAACTCAGGTTATATATTTTTGTTACGTATCACCGCTCGCAGGATCTTTATAGACAAGTTTCCCTTACAGGAATTGTTTTTTGGGAATTGTCATGCCACCTCCGGTTATTTCTAACGGCCCGTCCCTAAAAAGAATAGATCACGTAACAATAATCAACATCCAAATCAACAACAATCAACATGCAAAGTTGTTCACCCAGGAAGAAAGCTTAAGCTAGCTGGAATAGGTGACAACTTCAGTTGAGACCGGCCGGCTTTCTCTCGTTTTTCCGCCTTCCTAAGAAGGGGAGAAAAAAGCTTTCCCTCTCCAATGTCATTTAAATTAAATTAAATTAACATAATTTATATAGCGCGAACTCCACTAATTGACCAAAGCGCTTTACAATTCATAATATTAAAATAATTAAAAAGATCCTACTGGTAATAAAATATGAATAAATTAAAAACCTATTTGCAGTCTTATTTATAAAAATATCACAATAAATCCAATTCTAAATTATCAAAAAGTTAAACATTATATGCTTTTTTAAAAAGATCGGTCTTTAAGTGTTTCTTGAATAAATTAATTGTAGCTAAACTTCTAAGATCTAATGGCAGCTAATTCCAGAGTTTAGGTGCAGCAACGGAAAAGGCCCTGTCTCCGTATGTTGACTTCGGAACTGCCAGAAGTTTTTGATCAGTAGAGCGTAGCGTACGTGAACATGTACGATAACTAAGTAATTCCGTGATATATAATGGTGCCATACCATGCCGCTTTTCGAGCTACCTGCTAGAAACAACTGAAACAACCCAATGTTTGATTGGAGGGGAGAGGGGAAGGGCGCAAATTGCTTGACGACAGTATCTCGACAATTGTTTTAGCCGATCGCGGGTGTACTTTTTTCGGATATATGCGCCAAAATAATCCAGTCAGAGTGTAAGTTATTTAGATTGAAAATTCATTTTTGGCTTGAAGTAAGGTGGCTCCGTCATTAATACTGGAGCATTTAGCTGTGACAAGTTTTCCGTCATAACATTTTCGTTTTTAAGGCGATGGCTGCGAAACTTTGGAAAGAACAACCAGAAGTCATTCGGTAATAATGCGAAATATTCCGGCTGATTTCATTGATGGTAAATATTCCTTGAGAAATTAGCGCTTAAAAGGACCCTATTGTTCAAAGAAATTTATTGATATAAATAAACAAAGGTACTGGACAGTTCTATCTGAGCTTCGATACAAGGTAGCTTAGAATCGCAATACCTTTTCCCGGAATTGGAAGCAACGTACAGCAGGAAAAGCCGTCGAGGATGCATTGCAATATATCAAAATGCATGTAGCAGGATTTTGAACCACAACTGCCAAGGGATATTTTAAAAATGTCGAGGAACAAGTCATTCGAGCAAGGTTTGGAGCGATTTATAGAATATAGTGCTTCCAAAACTAAAAAGTACCTTTTAAAGAATAGCACGATAGGCAATCGGCTTTTGTTTTCAGAATAAGCAAACATTGAATTTACTTGTCCCGAAAATTTGAACTGGTGGCTTCTTCTACGTGACAGTAATTTATTTTTGAAATTCCAAACAATTTGACGGCTGAATTTTGAGCGACTTTTAGTTACGGACTTCTGCTACAACGATTTTTCTGAAATTCCTCTGGCATATTTATTATATCAATACAATGAAAGCCGATACCGGAAATTTCAGGAAAAAATATCAGCATTTTTTTTTACTAGACGTGATTTTCTTTGAACAGTAGGGTTCTTTTAAGCGCTAATTTAGCAAAATATATTCACCATCAATGAAATAGAAATAATTAACAATTATTCCTCGAGCCCGAATGGGCTCTGAGTCAATAGCCCATGAGACCGAAGGCGGTTTGCATGTAAACTCTAGACAGGTGAAAACATATGGCGCTAAGGATGATCCGCCTACTATAGGATCTTCCTGTTGTTAGGATTCTCCTCCCTTCATGCAGACACTTTGATAATACATACATACTTTATATTAGCCGAGCTGAGGTGTGATATGGTAAATTACAGACCGAGTTTTTTCCATCGATTTATGAGGCCTTCGCGCGAAGCTTTGGCTTTCTATTTGGTGGAACCAGAAACAAATGCAAGACAAGCGATGTGACAGTCATTTCTGACAGGCGTCAAAAAGAGAAAGCTCTTATCGGCTCACTTAGCACATTACAAAGACTTTCGATGTTCTGCCGTGTTAGGTTTGAAAAAGTTTTTTAGGTCAAAACTAAGAGTTAGCACTGTAAGTTTTAGCTCGAGCTTGAGCCTTCTCGAATTATTACAGCATTATTGCTATTTGCTAGAAACTTTTAGATGCAATCTTAAGTTTTTCGAAGGTGATAATTTTTCCGATTCCTATTTCTACCAAATATTCGAATCCGGAAATTTTAGATTTCCTTTTTGCTATGAGAAAAAGTTAAACCTGGGAGGTGAAAAGTGAAAAATTCAATTTCAGAAAAATTGTGTACGAATGGGACAGCCATCTACTTCTTGTAGCTGATTCTCGGTTTTTACTCACATGAGAAAGCAGAAATAAAAATGGAAATCTTTTAATACAGAAAGTCTAGAATCTGGGAAATGAAAGAAGATAAGTATTCAAAAAGCCTTGCCAAGAATCAGGTCGATGCATGCAATAGTTCATATGCGAGATATTCGGAAAAACGTTTTACCAAAATTTATAAAGCTTTGTATGGAGACGCCATGTTTGTGTCCCTTTCAGGGGCACAAATATGGCCGCCGGAAGCCAATAGAAACATCTGTTTTTGAGTTTTCCTACTTATGCGTGAATTCTTCGCTTGAGGAACTCATAAAGATTTTAAAAAGTAACATTTTTTCTAAGACAAGGAATGTTTAAATAGCAAAATGTCCAAAAATCCGTGATGTTTTAAACCCACATAAGAGCTTTCCCGGCCGCCAGCCAAATGCCGCGTCACGCAAAAAGCCTGGAAATTCAAGCGTCCTGTATCGCAAAACAAAGAACCCTTTTGAACCGCAAATTTTTTTGTATAAAGGTTTTAAGGTGCTCTAATATCACATGAAAATAGAAAATCAGAAGAAGCGATAGTTTCTTAGTTTGAATTTTGGTGACATGTGAAAACCAAGATATGCTAGGTAATAATTTTATTTGCTTCTTCATGCAAACAGCTATTTCTGAATCATGAGTTCTAAAAAAGCCGTTGGGTGCCCACATAAGATGAATAAACTTTTCCTGGCGTTTGTAATATATCCTCTCTTTTGGCAACTCAGTGTCGATTAACAATAATTATTTATTTATAATGTTTTGCGAGCCACAGAAATCATTAAACAAAATGTCGATCAAACTATTTTACAGGCCGAGAATTCGACACCCTGGTGCATTTGAATATTCTCTGAAGATCTCAGTGGCCCGTTGAGTCATTTGCTAATACGTAAGTCAACCATTTAGAACGTAACGAAATAAACCGAGTTTCTTTGAGTTGTAACCTGGCAAATAGAGTTTTCTTTTTCATACTGACATCTTGTGCATGTTCATCTCTTTGGCATGCTATTTTAATTTAAGGCAAGGCTCTAATTTCCAGCAGACTCAGGATACGTCAGCTGTTTTACATGGCACTTGGAGTTGTTCCCGATTCGATTGCTTGTTGGTTGCGGACCTTTCGGCTTTGGTTGATTTTTGTGGGATATATTTTGTGGCCATTCAAGAAGGATGAGCCTCCTCTAAACATACTCCTTTGTAATGTTATGGTTTCCTAAGCAGTTTCTTTCTAATCTTTTTTGAAAGACAAATATAGGTTTAAAGAGAAAATGAAGCACAAAGAATAAAATATTTATAAAATACTTTAAAATGGCTTTCGGAATTCTACTCCGCGGCTACCTTTGTCTTTGTTTGCGCGGAATAATTAGAACTGATTAGTTGAAACCTAACAGCATGATATATATACATTTCACTTACTCAGCAGCTGTTCAGTCATAGATTAGTTGCTTATATATGAACATAGGAGATAGAAATTGAAGTTAATTTCGCTTTCGTGTTATTAAAGGAATAAAAGATGTGACGTTTCAGAACATCGCAATAAATTAATGATCCGGTGTAATTAATCGCAGTTTACTTTATTGCGCCGCGTCACCTAAAATTAAAACGGTTATTCTAGTCCAGTTGATAATGTTTTGCTACTGTCATTAAAATTATTAAACAAAATGTGGATTATACAATGCAAATAGTTATGAAAAATAGCCACTTTGCAAACAAACACGCTACGGGAAAGGAAGGGTAGGCGCAGTGATGATAGTACTTTTTACACCTCGACCCAGAGGCCAATAAAAATAATGCCAGTGACACGAGTTCGTATTCTGGTGGCGATACTATTACATATATAGTAGCTTTTTGTCGTTTCAGATTTTTCTTTCGATGCATACTCCAGTTTTCTCCTCTCCTCCATCCGGAAACGCCCAAACACTCACAGCTGCAAGAGTTCTTAGGAACTCTTAGATGTTTTGGTTTCGTTGTTAACGTTGATTAGGCTTTAATCCCCTGGTGAGGGGAGGGGGGTTAGGGAGAGGGAGGGGGAAGGGAACTTTGCGGGCCCATTGCCTTCGCCAGTTTGTCGCATGAAAACCACTCATGATCAGGTCGCAGGTGAAAAACATGAAATTTTGAAGCTGACGTCTTTTGATAAAACCTCATGCTACCTTCACAAGGGAGTTTAAGAGAGTGCGTTTCCTCAGGAGAATCTAAGATTAGGGTTTTGAACTCAGGTTATATATTTTTGTTACGTATCACCGCTCGCAGGATTTCTTTTAGACAAGTTTCCCTTACAGGAATTGTTTTTGGGAATTGTCATCCCACCTCCGGTTATTTCTAACGGTCCGTCCGTAAAAAAAGCCTTAATAGATCACGTAACAATAATCAACATCCAAATCAACAACAATCAACATGCAAAGTTATTCACCCAGGAAGAAAGCTGAAGCTAGCTTGAATAGGTGCAACATCAGTTGAGACCGACTAGCTTTCTCTCGTTTTTCCGCCTTCCTAAGAAGGGGAGAAAAAAGCTTTCCCTCTCCAATGTCATTTAAATTAAATTAAATTAACATAATTTATATAGCGCGAACTCCACTAATTGACCAAAGCGCTTTACAATTCATAATATTAAAATAATTAAAAAGATCCTACTGGTAATAAAATATGAATAAATTAAAAACCTATTTGCAGTCTTATTTATAAAAATATCACAATAAATCCTATTCTAAATTATCAAAAAGTTAAACATTATATGCTTTTTTAAAAAGATCGGTCTTTAAGTGTTTCTTGAATAAATTAATTGTAGCTAAACTTCTAAGATCTAATGGCAGCTCATTCCAGAGTTTAGGTGCAGCAACGGAAAAGGCCCTGTCTCATGTTTTAAGTCTTGACTTCGGAACTGCCAGAAGTTTTTGATCAGTAGAGCGTAGCGTACGTGAATATGTACGATAACTAAGTAATTCCGTGATATATAATGGTGCCATACCATGCCGCTTTTCGAGCTACCTGCTAGAAACAACTGAAACAACCCAATGTTTGATTGGAGGGGAGAGGGGAAGGGCGCAAATTGCTTGAGGACAGTATCTCGACAATTGTTTTAGTCGATCGCGGGTGTACTTTTTTCGGATATATGTGCGAAAATAATCCAGTCAGAGTGTAAGTTATTTAGATTGAAAATTCATTTTTGGCTTGAAGTAAGGTGGCTCCGTCATTAATACTGGAGCATTTAGCTGTAACAAGTTTTCCGTCGTAACATTTTCGTTTTTAACGCGATGGCTGCGAAACTTTGGAAAGAACAACCAGAAGTCATTCGGTAATAATGCGAAATATTCCGGCTGATTTCATTGATGGTAAATATTCCTTGAGAAATTAGCGCTGAAAAGGACCCTATTGTTCAAAGAAATTTATTGATATAAATAAACAAAGGTACTGGACAGTTCTATCTGAGCTTCGATACAAGGTAGCTTACAATCCCAATACCTTTTTCCGGAATTGGAAGCAACGTACAGCAGGAAAAGCCGTTGAGGATGCACTGCAATACATCAAAATGCATGTAGCAGGAGTTTGAACCACAACTGCCAAGGGATATTTTAAAAATGTCGAGGAACAAGTCATTCGAGCAAGGTTTGGAGCGATTTATAGAATATAGTGCTTCTAAAACTAAAAAGTACCTTTTAAAGAATAGCACGATAGGCAATCGGCTTTTGTTTTCAGAATAAGCAAACATTGAATTTACTTGTCCCGAAAATTCGAACTGGTGGCTTCTTGTACCTGATAGTAATTTATTTTTGAAATTCCCAGCAATTTCATGGCTGAATTTTGAGCGACTTTTAGTTACGGACTTCTGCTACAACGATTTTTCTGAAATTCCTCTGGCATATTTATTATATCAATATAATTAAAGCCGATACCAGAAATTTCAGGAAAAAATATCAGCATTTTTTTTTACTAGACGTGATTTTCTTTGAACAGTAGGGTTCTTTTAAGCGCTAATTTAGCAAAATATATTCACCATCAATGATTAGAAATAATTAACAATTATTCGTCGAGCCCGAATGGGCTCTGAGTCAATAGCCCATGAGGCCGAAGGCGGTTTGCATGTAAACTCTAGACAGGTGAAAACATATGGCGCTAAGGATGATCCGCCTTCTATAGGATCTTCCAGTTGTTAGGATTCTCCTCCCTTCATGCAGACACTTTGATAATACATACATACTTTATATTAGCCGAGTTTGAGGTGTGATATTGTAAATTACAGACCGAGTTTTTTCCATCGATTTATGAGGCCTTCGCGCGAAGCTTTGGCTTTCTATTTGGTGGAACCAGAAACAAATGCAAGACAAGCGATGTGACAGTCATTTCTGACAGGCGTCAAAAAGAGAAAGCTCTTATCGGCTCACTTAGCACATTACAAAGACTTTCGATGTTCTGCCGTGTTAGGTTTGAAAAAGTTTTTTAGGTCAAAACTAAGAGTTAGCACTGTAAGGTTTAGCTCGAGCTTGAGCCTTCGAATTATTACAGCATTATTGCTATTTGCCAGAAACTTTTAGATGCAATCTTAAGTTTTTCGAAGGTGATAATTTTTCCGATTCCTATTTCTACCAAATATTCGAATCCGGAAATTTTAGATTTCCTTTTTGCTATGAGAAAAAGATAAACCTGGGAGGTGAAAAGTGAAAAATTCAATTTCAGAAAAATCGTGTATGAATGGGACAGCCATCTACTTCTTGTAGCTAATTCTCGGTTTTCACTCACATGAGAAAGTAGAAATAAAAATGGAAATCTTTTAATACAGAAAGTCTAGAATCTGGGAAATGAAAGAAGATAAGTATTCAAAAAGCCTTGCCAAGAATCAGGTCGATGCATGCAATAGTTCATATGCGAGATATTCGGAAAAACGTTTTACCAAAATTTATAAAGCTTTGTATGGAGACGCCATGTTTGTGTCCCTTTCAGGGGCACAAATATGGCCGCCGGAAGCCAATAGAAACATTATGCGTGAATTCTTCGCTTGAGGAACTCATAAAGATTAAAGTAATATTTTTTCTAAGACAGGGAATATTTAGATAGCAAAATGTCCAAAAATCCGTGATGTTTTTAACCCACATAAGAGCTTTCCCGGCCGCCAGCTAAATGCCGCGTCACGCAAAAAGCCTGAAATTCAAGCGTCCTGTATCGCAAAACAAAGAACCCTTTTGAACCGAACATTTGTTTGTATAAAGGTTTTAAGGTGCTCTAATATCACATGAAAGTAGAAAATCAGAAGAAGCGATAGTTTCTTAGTTTGAATTTTGGTGACATGTGAAAACCAAGATATGCTAGGTAATAATTTTATTTGCTTCTTCATGCAAACAGCTATTTCTGAATCATCAGTTCTAAAAAAGCCTTTGGGTGCCCACATAAGATGAATAAACTTTCCCTGGCGTTTGTAATATATCCTCTCTTTTGGCAACTCAGTGTCGATTAACAATAATTATTTATTTATAATGTTTTGCGAGCCACAGAAATCATTAAACAAAATGTCGATCAAACTATTTTACAGGCCGAGAATTCGACACCCTGGTGCATTTGAATATTCTCTGAAGATCTCAGTGGCCCGTTGAGTCATTTGCTAATACGTAAGTCAACCATTTAGAACGTAACGAAATAAACCGAGTTTCTTTGAGTTTTAACCTGGTAAACAGAGTTTTCTTTTTCATACTGACATCTTGTGCATGTTCATCTCTTTGGCATGCTATGTTAAAGCAAGGCTCTAATTTCCAGCGGATTTAGGATACGTCAGCTTTTTTTACATGGCACTTGGAGTTGTTCCCGATTCGATTGCTTGTTGGTTGTGGACCTTTCGGCTTTGGTTGATTTTTGTGGCATATATTTTGTGGCCATTCAAGAAGGATGAGCCTCCTCTAAACATACTCCTTTGTAATGTTAATGTTTCCTAAGCAGTTTCTTTCTAATCTTTTTTGAAAGACAAATATAGGTTTAAAGAGAAAATGAAGCAGTCATCACCGTTCTCTCATTTTAAGCAGCTACAAAGAATAAAATATTTATAAAATACTTTAAAAATGGCTTTCGAAATTCTACTCCGCGGCTACCTTTGTCTTTGTTTGCGCGGAATAATTAGAACTGATTAGTTGAAACCTAACAGCATGATATATACAGCTGTTTCGAGAAAGGTTGTCGGAGAAAGTGCACGCGACAATCCCGAAAGGCGTTGTGGGTGGTTTTTAGTTCACTGTTTTTCAAAGAAATTTAAAAGAATGGCACGAGAGGCCATGGACGTATGTTTCCGAGGGCTAAAGGAAACAACAAAAGTAGGTTCGACAGCTACAGTGTCAAGAACAAGTGTATTGATCATATCCCATATTACCTTTCGGGATTGTCGCGTGCACAGTTTTTGCGACAACCTTTCTCGAAATAGCTGTATACATTTCACTTACTCAGCAGCTGTTAAGTCATAGATTAGTTGCTTATATATGAACATAGGAGGTAGAAATTGAAGTTAATTTCGCTTTCGTGTTATTAAAGGAATAAAAGATGGGTCGTTTCAGCACATCGCAATAAACTATTGCAGATGATCCGGTGTAATTAATCGCAGTTTACTTTATTGCGCCATGTCACCTAAAATTAAAACGATTATTCTAGTCCAGTTAATAATGTTTTGCTACTGTCATTAAAATTATTAAACAAAATGTGGATTATACAATGCAAATAGTTCAATGAAAAATAGCCACTTTGCAAACAAACACGCTACAGGAAAGCAAGGGTAGGCGCAGTGATGATAGTACTTTTTATACCTCGACCCAGAGGCCAATAAAAATAATGCCAGTGACACGTACGAGTTCGTATTCTGGTGACGATACTATTACTTATATAGTAGATTTTTGTGGTTTCAGATTTTTCTTTCGATACGTGTCCAAGTTTTCTCTTTTCTTCCATCCGGGAACGCCCAAACACTCACAGCTGCAAGAGTTCTTAGGAACTCTTAGGTGTTTTGGTTTCGTTGTTAACGTTGATTGGGCTGTAATCCCCTGGGGAGGGGAGGGGGGTTAGGGAGAGGGAGGGGGAAGGGAACGTTGCGGGCCCATTGCCTTAGCCAGTTTGTCGTATGAAAACCACTCATGATCAGGTCGCAGGTGAAAACATGAAATTTTGAAGCTGACAGTCTTGTGATAAAACCCCATGCTACCTTCACAAGGGAGTTTAAGAGAGTGCGTTTCCTCAGAAGAATCCAAGATTAGAGTTTTGAACTCAGGTTATATATTTTTGTTACGTATCACCGCTCGCAGGATTTTTTTAGACAAGTTTCCCTTACAGGAATTGTTTTTTGGGAATTGTCATGCCACCTCCGGTTATTTCTAACGGTCCGTCCCTAAAAAAAGCCTTAATAGATCACGTAACAATAATCAACATCCAAATCAACAACAATCAACATGCAAAGTTATTCACCCAGGAAGAAAGCTTAAGCTAGCTGGAATAGGTGACAACATCAGTTGAGACCGGCCGGCTTTCTCTCGTTTTTCCGCCTTCCTAAGAAGGGCAAAAAAAAGCTTTCCCTCTCCAATGTCATGCCCCTTTTCGAACTACCTGCTAGAAACAACTGAAACAACCAAATGTTTGATTGGAGGGGAGGGGGGACGGGCGCAAATTGTTTGAGCAGTGTCTCGACAATTGTTTTAGCCGATCGCGAGTGTACTTTTTTCGGATATATCCGCGAAAATAATCCAGTCCAAAAATTCATTTTTGGCTTGAATTAAAGAAACGCCAATTTTGGATTTGGATTTTCCCAAAGTACCGAACGCTTTCATAAGATTTTTCCATGATTACAGAACTAAAGCAACATGAGAAATAATGTCGGGAAAAGGCACGTTTGTCGCCGTCTTCTAATTCTTTGGTTTGATTACATAAATTACCAACGTAGGTGTTTAAGTTTGCAACACCTACATCTTAAAACCGCCTTTAGACCCTGTTTGCATGGAGTGGGGGACCCTGGTCTAGTGGGGTTGGTTTCTTTTGTTTTCACGCTCTGGCGGACACAAAACAAAAGAAACCTACCACACTAGACCGGGGTCCCCCACTCCATGTAAACAGGGTCTTAGTCAGCAGTCAGCACGTAGTAAATTGTTCAGCTGAATGTTTTTGTCACTTTTTAAAAAGATTTTTTACTGGCAACTTTCCAATTATAGATTGAATAAGTTATTGTTATTTTTGCGCTTCGTTTTAGATCATTCTTTTCTCTTTTAATCGATTTTATTTCAACCGTCATTAATTTTTTGGTAGTTTCCGTGCAATACAAGATCGACAATGATTTTCTCTTGTTTCATTTGCTCTCCCGAGGAGTCACTCTTACTAGTAACTCGAGCGTATATTAAGGAAAGTACTTACAGTTGAAATATACAGTCCGTATGCCAGAAAAAATCTCGATTTGCTTGAACAGGGGCCGCGAGGAATCGGTGGGTAATAATGACGTTTCTATTGTTCGTGCCCGCAAGTACGAGATGGTTAGGATGACGTAAAGACAGAAAACCCCGAAAGAAGGGACCGCTTAGGTAGATTTTGTGACATTTATTGTACAGTCATACTTCGATACTCTTTTGCGTTACGTGTTATCAGTGACATTCTGTGGAGCAGTTGTTTTGAAAGTTATGGACCAAAAGACACTCGTTAAGAGAAGATGTAGTTATAAGGTGCGCATAACTGTGTATATATAAACACCTGGAGAGTTTGCCAGACACGAGTTCACAAATCTTTGATTGGAAAGACACTCTTTCTCAGTCTTTGACCTGAACGACTCAGCCCCAAACAAGCAAGACAAGTAAATCAACGGCTAGCTTATCACTAGCAGAGCAAAGGAGATTACAGAAATTCGCCGACAATCAAATTCTCTGCTGACTTATTCCGTACTCACAGATGTCCTTCCGCTATAAAGTTTAAAATAAGACTAGAATGCGCGAGCGAAAGAAAAATTCAACTTCTAATTAAACCTTTTTTATAGCTGGTTTAGAATAAACTATTCTCGAAACTGAGAATGTTTTGAGCAAAGCTGTGTAAATCGAACTGAAACTGTGCATGGAACCCTGCGTTTCCTGTTTTTATCTCATCTATTGTATAGAATATGTGTGAAAATCTTCATTATGAATCGGTATATTTTGAAGAGCTACACAACGACCAAGAATACTATTGACCAGGCTATTGACCGACAATATACAGAGCGGGGGCAGCTGTAGTGTCAACTATTACTAGTATATCGGCCAATATCATAGCCTCCCACGCAGGCGTTTTGGGGGAACTCGTTTTTCATCCCTCCCCAGGGAGGGATGAAACACGTGCTCCCCTAAAAACGCCTGCGTGAGAGGCTACCAATATCAATATCATTTTCAGATGTTTTCGAAGGCTACGAGCGCGAAGGCGCGGTGATTTTAGGGAGCCGAGTAGCATCCTATCTGACGACGGCGACGGCAGCGAAAACGTCACTTTTAAAATGAATTCGCGTTTTTTCAAACTTTGCCGCGCTTTTTCTAATTCCCCGAAAATGTTAAATGTAGGCGAGTTTCCCTGGAGTTGATTTCTTGGGGATCGGACTCAAGTTTGAAAGAGAAAGAAAAATTCTTCGTCGCTTGTTTATTTTCTCCGTAAAACGTTAAATTAGGCATTTTGACGTCGTAGTCGTGCAGTGACGGCAAAGAAATTTACAAAAAAGTGTGATACACGTGCAAAGTTGTTGTTTTGCTAATCAAACTTTTTGCTTTTCTGCCGTTCTCGTTGTTGCCGCCGTCGTCGTTGCTAAAGCTCCCGTTGACTGACTTTATAAACTGTCTTTTTTCCCAAAGATGTCTACTGACGTTCTTTATTTTTCTTTCTCGCGCTCTGCGCTCGTTCTCGTGCGCTCGCCGATGTTTTCGAAAAGAACGAAAAGAAAAATAAGTCAACGTGTGTACGTGTAAAGGCTAACACATGGCCAAGAATTGTTTTGGAGTGTTTTATCTGCTCATTATACTCCATTTTAAGAAATTCTCAACTTGAATCTGACCTTTGCTTTCTTTTCCGTAAGCTCACTGAGTCGGCTCTTAACCTCTTTATGGATTGTGTATCGTGTCGTCCTGTGCCTCTTCTAGGCAGGCCTAGACCATAAGAGCCACGCACCGCGAGTGAAAAAGTAAAATTATGCAGATTTATGGTTTTAAGGTGGATAGATTGGGGCGCTCGGACCTGGGCTTCCGCCCTCGTTCCTCGCAACTTCGTCGCTCTCCTCACGCGTGCTCTTGACTGGTCCTGTGACTCTGCTCGTAGTCTAAGGCATGCCCGGGGCATCAAGTTCTGGGCTGACCACACTCAAAGAAAAACAAAAACATTCGCAACATCAACTATTACATTAGCAAGATACTAGTAATAGTTGACACTACAGCTGCCCCCGCTCTGTATATTGTCGGTCAATAGCATTCTTGCTCGTTGTCTAGCTCTTTGAAATATACCGATTCATAAGAAAGATTTTCACACATATTCCATACAATAGGTGAGATAAATATAGGAAAGGTTAGGTTCCATCCACAGTTTCAGTTCGATTTACACAGCTTTGATCAAAACATTCTCAGTTTCGAGAACAGTTTATTCTAAACCATAAGAAAAGATTTAATTAGAAGTTGACTTTTTCGCTATTTCTCTTTCAGTTGTCCTGCTGAATCACTGAACTATAGCCGGGCCTTTCATTTTAATACACGTATGGTGCCACCGTTTTACCCTTTTTACGATGTCATTTACCAAACGTCAGACCTTGGCCAATTCCACACCACTCCTGCTAAAACGCTTTCTCACCCGGTGAGTTGCCAACGTATGATTGTCCAATGAAACAGAAATCACTCCGTCGATGTGAATTCTCTGCCGTCTACAGACAAGCAAAGACTTTAGTGCTCTTCTATATTGCGCCAGCCGCCAAGCGTAGATGAGAGGATCAAGAGCAAACTTAAGGAACAACACATCAGCGGAGAACAAGCCTGCAAGGTGAAGCCTTAACAATTCAAGCCTTGTTAGATCCTTCCAGTGATACTGCAAGTAGAAAAAGACTGTTACAGGGAGGGAGCAAGAGATAACAAATGTAAGCAGTAAAAGATTGACGATAGTAAATTGTCTCTCTCTTCTGTTATTTCTATGAACACCTTGTCCTTTGCCCAAAAAGTGGTTGGCTTTCCAAGAGTGCAGTCTCCTTATCTGGGTTTTGAATGCTCTGTATAAACAAAGGTAACCTACGGTCAGTAACAAAAGACTTCCAGTCGTGTGGAAGTACAAGTCCATTTTTAGGAAGGCCGTTTCTGCCACTCTGCTTGCCGACAAAATGGCAAACAATACCGTGTACACCCAAGTTAAGATCACACTTGCTATAACTCGACTCTTCGTAACAAGCACTTTGTGCTTGAAGGGGAAGTTTATCGCTGTAAATTGACTCCAAGTAAACAACAGCAGAATTATGTAAGAGCTGTTCATTGTAGCTGCGGAAATGAGATGAGCAGCATGTCCTGCTTTTTGAAGTGATGGAATAATCGATGAATCTCGCCTTTTTACGCTAATGTAAAGACCAATGTCCTGAAAGGCGGTTAACGGACATACCGTAATACCTGTGAGAAAGTCAGCGACGGCTAAGCCAATTACAAAAAACGTATTTGGTGTACGGAAAGTTTTAAACGGATCCTTCCAGATAACGAACAGTAGAAGGCCATTCCCCAGGGCTGTAACTAAAGTTATTACAACAAGAAAAACTCCTGATGCGATGTGCGAACCAAGATAAATCTGGATGATTTGCTTCAAGTCTTCTTGAATTTGCGAAGTAGTTGAGTTCGTCATCTATTTTCAAGTCAGCGATTCCTACACCGGAATCAGTCTTTCATCCACTGTTAGGTTTCAGTCTTCATGCAGAATGGGCTTAAATGGCTAGTAAAAGTCTGGCAAGTGACGTTAATATGCGAACGAAGGTACATCTGGGTGAGTTGTTTCGGTCTTGAGTTTGCGAAGAACTTGTGGAGTTCTAATCATCACCTGTAATAAATTCAGTGATTCGTACCGGAGTCAGTGTTCATCAACTGTTCGTTTGCAATCTTCAGAATGGGCTTAAAATGGCTAGTAAAAGTCTGGCAATTGACGATAATTTGACAGGAAATGCTGACTACAGCAGCTGTGTGTGTTTAAATGAAAGATTGCCGATTAAAAGTTAATGCTGGGGTAGTGATGACTCAGGCATTTTCTTGCGTGATTCTTTTGTCTGCTATGTAAACGAAGCCAAAAAAAGGAAATGTGAGGATACTGAACTTTAAACATTTACTTAAAGATAAAAGGTTTTAAGGCTTCACTTTATAACAAAGACAAAAGATCGACGGGATTTGCTTGAAGGATGTTTGTTCGTTTTCATCTTCAATGCTAAAATCACAAACTTGCCTCAGAAAGCTGATTTTGATTCTGGAGGGTGGAGATTTTTGAGAAGTGGTTTTGAATCTCTTGCAGGGAAGTGCTGTTCGAAGCTGGGTTTACATAACCCAGCGTTAGTGTGAAAATTAGGATTCAGGTAACTGAGGAAGCTTAAAAGCAAATTCACTTTAATTCTCTCATTCGATGATTGGATGTTCTAAATCGGCTCTAAAGAGAATAGAGTACGTTATCCACGAAAATGTTTTTGAGCAAAAGGAAAAGATACCGAAGTTAAAACTTAACCGCATGTTAGCACTTATCGGCCTTCGAACTACTGAGTTCAATGATAAATAAAAAATACATGATATTATACGACGATCCTACACTTTCGAAATAACAAGCCCGAGAGGATAGTTCTGTGGTAACGAAATAAAGCATTTTACACCAGCGCTTTCGGCTTTCGATTCAGAACCATCTCGATGTATCTTTTCTTCAATTGCCGAAAAAAAAAATTGTTCACGTCGTTCCTTTGACCAGCTGTAAGTTGCTAGTAAGTAAAGCCTCCAGTTTTTAATGCCATTTGAGCGACTGAGTTCGCCCGTGAATTCTGCCCGCCAACAATTTACTTTACTTGACAGTTTTCGTGATCAAAATCGATGACCCAAAGTAATATTGCGACGTCGAAACATTAATGAAATCACCGTTTGGTAATTTCTGTCTTTTTGCAGCCTGACATAGACTATTAAATGTTACACAGGCACGAAAGTAAACATTTGATTTTGGTGTATTTTTTGGTCGGATTTGTTAAGAAGAACGTTTTGCTTTCACTTGTGAATTAAATAGCTGTTCGCCGGCTTATCCTAACAAAATTTTGGTTATAATCGATCGCTTTTTGCTACAATATATGACGTCGTTAGAAGAATAATGTCAAGGCTTTTAAATGGTGAATTAGTTTGTCACAAGGCCTCTTTCATTTACAAGAATGAAGTGCTGAAAATGGGCACGACCGCGGATGTCAAATAACTAATAAAGGCAAATATTATATTTCCCTTGTTCCTTAGCTTTTGATGTTTTTCTGCTTTCGTTTTTTTACATTTACCAGGTAAAACACTGAGAGCAATTTACTACTAACTGCTCATTGTGTAGTTACGTTTCGGTTAGTAATAAAGATAAACGAAAGGTTTCGCTTCTTTACTGTAGCTGATTCAAAGTCGTAACTTTTCCTAGAGGCACGTATAACAAAAAATCATCGAAGTAAATCAGAAGCACAAAATCTTGGTGGCGGGTGAGGGGTGGGGTGGGTGTGCGAATTGGCGTCTTGGATCATTAGTGTAGATGGTCAGAATTCAAAGAAAAACTTATCCTGCCAGCGAACTCTCCGGGTGCTCTGGCAGCGGGGCCCATACCCCAGGGAGTAACCTGTTCCAGGCTCCGAGATAGTCGGGCCCACTATCTGAGAGCCTGGAACAGGCTACCCAGGGAGAGCCAAGTTGTTCGCAGGTTATGTAAAATTTCTCGGTTATTCTACATATATTCAGAGAACGATAGAATTGGTCATTATCGGAGTACAGTACTCTCATCCTCTGCAATGTCAAGTTGTTTTCCAGACAGTCATTTTCAAGAACGGGGAATTTTCCGGGATATTAGGGAGTTTTGAGCGACGTACGTCAACCGCGAAGTGGACTTTTTCCACACTTGAGCGGGCGCACTTACGCGTTTAGGGGTTGGAAGATTGCTGAGATCTCTTAACCCTTAAAGTCGCAATAACGGACCAACATTATAATACTGAATAATAATCAACTTTATCTAACGAAGGTAACACGGGACAGTACTTCAACTGAATAACTGGTGGCCCTCAAACTAAAATTATAAAACAAAAATTAAGTAATCAAAAATACACATATTGATTTTCTCCAGACAGCAACAGCTCATCATCAAGAGATACAATTGTCAGAATAAATAAAACATAGTCACCAAAGGAAGAATGCTTTGTTCTTCTATTGAATCCTCTCTACTAATTTTTGAAGGAAATGCATGGAGATCAGTTTTGAGAATTTGTATGTGGATATCGCTTAAAGGGGCTCACCGAGATAAAAGCAAACTTCCACAGAGTCCTCTCTTTTCTTCACGCGAGGACTTTAAATCCAATTCATTTTCAGTCATAGCCAGTCGCACTAGCTAAAGCGACTTCGGTATAACGACACTCAAAAACGAGCATTGGTGCTAGCCGGAGCCCCTCGGAGTTTTGCTAATTCAACTGCAGAAGTGCAGGACTGTCATATTTACAACACTGTTGTTAGAGGCATCAGTTATGCAACTCACGAAGAACTGCAAAAATGAACAACTCGTTTAGCCAGAAAGAACTGCTTTAATAAAGGGATGAAAAGCCATGGATTATTTGGTTTTCGATTAATATTATAATAAGACTTAAGGAATTCAAACCTCCATTTAAACATCTTCGGACGTGTAAAGACGAAGCAGCATGCAGCGGTGCGATGAAGTCCCTGCGCTTAATCCAAAACTGCAGTTAATTCATTCAGTTAATAGCTAATTGTTCAGTGTCTGAAAGCAATAGTCACACTGGTAAGGGAGCTATAAGCAAAGACGTTTTTGAGTATCAATATTGAGCAGAACAATTGGTCACTACAGAAAATACCATAATATACCATAATGCTCTTTGTTTCATCCCAAAATTTAATATATTTAAGAATTGTGTTCAGTCTCTCTTGGGAGTTAAATGGGATGACAGACAATGAGGATTATGGTATGTTATGGTATTTTCTGCAGAGGCCAATTAATTGTTTATTGTTTAATACTTGGGTCAAGCAGAGCCCTGCGTTTTACTGTACAGTAATCACCCATTTGCTGGATTCAAGGACTTCATAAGTTCAATAAATTTTGGCACATTTTTTTCGAAAGTGATGCACATTGTTTATTGCTAGAATTTTCAAATACATCTGGCACTTAAGTTCTTCGTGATTACATCGTAGTTAATGCCAAATAGATGGAATGCTACACTTGTCGGTATTGTACGCACAGCATTTGTAGTTTTCCCAGTCTGGGTTAAACCTGTCTCTCTCCTGATTTTGGCACGCCTCGTCGAAATTTTTTTCGTGCTTTGTATAGCAGCCCTGGCATGTATTCGGAATGCAAAGTCTTGTTGTAACGAAATCTTTGCCATCTTTACTATCGGGATGTACTTCCCTCTGATCACAGGCATTTATACTGTCTACAATACTGGAGGTAGAGACTGAAAACGAGATTAAAAGATTAACGGAAATCTTATATAAAATAGTTTAAGGTATAGAACCGGGATAGAATTACGAATTGTCACGGACTAATAAAAAAATGTTACTGTCAGTAACAAACTTTCATCCTTCTCATACCGAATTGTTTATATTACATACTATTAGGAAGATGGATTTTTTCACCTTGCCCCCATAACTTTATAGAATAAAGAAAGATAAGCTAAAAACACTTAAAGCGTTGATCTTGTAGAACGTGTAAGAAAGTCTTTTTTAAGTTAAGTGCTTTACGCGACGAAATTGCCCATTTTACGTTTTTGGCTGGAGTTACCTTGTTTTGATACAACCCTTCTTGCTTTATTATTGTTGCTAACTAACATTTTTCACCATTATTTCCAAAAAAAAGTAAGGAGGTTTTCATCAAACGGAACGGTCAACCTCATTCTCACATTTAGCACTCAAAGACTAAGAGTAAGTTGACAACAGTAGATGGTCTAATGTCCGCCATCTTGGATCCGGATTTTTTTCCTCTGGGAGAATCAAACACTCTCTTGCTGTAATCACTTAACAATAAATATTTTTTTTCTCCAATTACCAGCATTGACTTGCTATTTTCACTGCAGCATTATCTACTACCATTTCATCCACTCACTACTGACGACACACTTCACAAGTAATTATTATTACCCATTAAAGATAACATGTGTTTGCTGCATATTCGCCTGCAGTTATTCATTATCACACCCATTTCCTTTTACTATAATTACACATGTAGGAGGGTCAAATGGGGTGAACAAGGGACGTAAGAAACATTGGCTACCCTTCCTTAACTACAACAACCCCATTTAAATCCCAGAAAATCCTTTTTAATAAAAGAGCACTGGGTTTTAAATTTACTCCAACCAAAAGGCGATTAGCTACATATCTCACCTTCCAATATTACAGCCAGTGTTGAAACCCGCGCTCCCAAGCTACCCAATTTACTCCAATTCTCTCCCCCTTCCATCCCTGACATTTTATGGGCCTCCTCCCCCCCCCCGAGCTTCGCGAGGTTCTGCGATACACGTATTTCTAGTCAAAGGCTGCTATCTGGTTTTATTGATTTCATTTAATGGGCGT